TTCTTGCTTCCAGAAGCATATGATTTCCGTGATGGAGAAAAAGAGGCGAACCTCAACAAACGATTCCAACTTTCGTCCAGTCCTGATTGGGGACTTGCACGGATTCACAAACGTACGTTGGGTGAGTTGGATTCATACGAGTTTGATGAAACTGCTGGGTAAGTTCTTTATTGTATAGATTGTGATTTATGGCACCACCAACAACAACAACACCACTAACAATGACTGTATTCATACAATACAGATCGGGCATCGATGTATTTGTCCTTGACTCGGGCGTTAATGTTGGACACACGGATTTTGAAGGCCGTGCTCGAGCGGCAGCCAATTTTGTGGATCGAGAAGACGATATTGATCTTGGTGGTCATGGTACACACGTTGCTGGTAAAATTGCAGGCAAAATGTATGGCGTTGCCAAATCAGCCAATATCCATTCCGTCAAGATCCTTAATAAATCAGGCGACGGCACTATGAGCAACTTGATCAAAGGTATAGGCTTTACTGTTTGAGATGCATGTATGCACGCATGCATGTATATATACAAGGAAGTGTGATTTATATTTAACTCAATGTACACAATTGTAAACCAACATTACGCGTCTGTTGTTAGGGATTTCACATGTGATCCAAGTAGCCACACCAGGCAAAGCGCTCATCAACTTGTCATTGAGCGGTCCTAAATCACGATTGATTGATGAAGCCGTATCCAAACTTGTCAATGATTACAACATCCCCGTCTTCGTTTCTGCAGGCAATTCCGGCACAGACGCATGCTATTTTTCACCGTCATCCAATGCGGATGCCTTTGCAGTAGGTGCAACTGACGTCAATGACAAGGTCCCATACTATTCCGACACGGGTCGATGTGTCAAGGTATATGCTCCTGGCTCTAATATCAGGAGCACATGGATTGGTGGCTCAGACGAGACCAAGGTCTTGGATGGAACCAGGTAAAGAAAACGCTTTTCTATTTCTGCGATTACATAATCATCTGAGCACTAAATATGGATAATAATTATTTAGCATGGCCAACCCACACGTCGTGGGCATTGCTGCATCGCTCATGTCCAAGCAACCCTCTCTCTCGCCCAAAGAGCTGTATGAGGCCATTGTCACAAAGGCCACTAGTAACATGTTGACCTTTACCACCACAAGCGATGCCGATTTGAATAGTAATCTGATAGCCTATAACGGTATCCATTAATACAACTGCTATCAAAGATCAATAAAAAGGGTTGCTGTTTGTCAATCCACTTGATTTAAATTAATTCGTTGTTTGAACTCAACACGCCGTGAAACCATGAGCGGGAGCAGCCCCACATGGTAAAGGCAACCTGCCCAGACTCTCTGTGGAGTGTGAGAGAAACGCTTTGGTTGTACCCTTCTTTTTTTTCTTCTAGCGTCTTTTTTTCCCTCGCTTTTTTTTGGTGGAATACGTTATGGATTCCAACATTTCAGCAAGTCCACCTTCCGATACCTCCTCCATTACAGGTACCGGCAGCCAACAACAGCAGCCACCAGGACTCAACAGCAACAGTACCCGTTTCAGCTTTCAACATTTCGACCAAGAGTCTGATTTCGGTGTAGAAGACGAAAACGGTGAGCGAGTACGCAAACGCAAACGACCGGGACGCAAACCCAACCCACCTACAGTCCAAGAGCGGCGAGCACAAAACAGAGCAGCGCAACGGGCATTTCGAGAACGAGAACAAAAGAGACGAGAAGAAAAAGAACGAGAGAACCAAGCGCATATGGAAGAACTGTTTCGACTGCGCAAACGACTCGCCGAAGTACAATACGAGGCCAACTATTTACGTGGTTGTGTTTTGCTGCTATGTTTAACAAGCCTGGTTGAACGAGGATCCGTACCTCATATTTGGACCGATACTCGATTGTTTCCAATCCCATGGACGGGCAATCCACCCGCACAACCACAAGACAGTGTCAATAGCATCCCGGCTATTTTACGAACCGTGTTGAGTCAAGATAACCAGATTCTCGGGTTTCAGTCGTCGTTAATGTCGGCACGATGTACTGGATGGTCATTGCCAGATCAGATTGAACAACTTTTGAAAGGCGTCGATACGTTTATACCAACAAGAATAACAACATTAGCCACTAATGTTACGAATGCTACAGCAGAGGAAAGAACAACAAGAACGACGACGACGACGAACGGAAAGAGTGGTAATAATAGCGCGATAGGGCAGCAACAACGACAACAAGGACAGCGGGATCAACAACCTTTATCACCATCATCACATCAACAACAACAACGAAGGAGTAGGACGGTCTTGGACAAGGATAATATGAATAACGATAACAACAGCAATAGCAGCAGCAATAGCAATCATGTTGCTGACGAAGATGACGAGATGCTATCACCATACGCAGAAACAGAACTACTGGTGAGCAGTTTCACTGCCACCAAGAACGTCGTTGGCATTGTATACGATACACCGACGCTCAAAACCCCTGACGACCTATCCCACCTGCCCTCACTCCAAGCCCTCCATGTTTTAAAAATGCAACTGAAAGCGGCCAGTATTCTTGGCGACAAGACACGAATTTCCCTGACACCGAGTAAGTTCCAAGACGGTGTTGGATGATTAAGAAGGTTATACCTGATGAGCTTATTTTGTTCGTGTTGGATAGCCGCTTTACAACGATTAATACCACACGATGTACGAATTGACTATTGCCCTGGGCCTTCGTTACGAGACCGAATGATCTTATTCCAAGGCTTTTACGACCCAGACGAGGTATTTGAACTCTTATCAACGCGAACCATGTTTATTGGCGGCGATCCACGCGACACACGCAACTGGGTGCCCGATCCCAAATTTTCTGAACGCTATTGGTTCTTGTCACATCAATTGGTCGATCATCACTCGGGCGAATGTGCTCTGATACCCGAATTCATCGATGCCATCTTGGCTACGCAACGACAAAAGGAAGAGGAATTGAGACGGTTTAAAGAGGAACAGGAGGAACAGCAGAGACGGCAAGAAGAAGCATTACGAGGATCATCAGCAGCAGCAGCGGCAGCAACCTCGCTATCACCGTCAAGGAGCAATAATAAAAAGAGCAAACATAATAAGGATGGGGATGATGGGTTGATCCATATCGGTCCTTCTGCTATTGCTGCCACCAGTAGTAGCAGTAGTAGTACTGGTAGTAAGAATACTACGACTCTACGGAAGCAGCCGTTATTATCTGTACGAAAAGAAAGGTCATCCAATATACGTTCATTACCTCTGGATCTATAGTAGTAACGACAATTAAAAAACAGCCGTAATATCAATATATCATACATACATAGTGTAGATTTATATATCTCCTTATTCTTTGTATACATTTTTGTTTTCTTTTCTTGTCATTTTGTATAACTTTGTTGTGCTACCAGCACCACCTTTTCCTTGTGCACTAGTTGTTGGGAGAGGTCTGTGTATGTTGTGTGTATTTTTAAAATGTCTTTCGAAAAGAGGAGTGTAAGTGTGTGTTTGTGTGATTAGGATAAATGGATGTGGATGGACGGATGGATGAAGAAATAGAGAGAAAGCGAAAGCAAGTGGTAAGGGTAGAAGAGAACGGGTTTTAGGATGAGGCTTCGGGTGGTGAGAAGGCGCCTGCGGCTAAGCATAGGTTTCGTTTGGTGAACTGAACGTCATATATAGGCGTATGCTTGGTGGGGAACACGCCCAATTGATCATGACTTGAAAATTTCGATGCGCATATTAGACAAATATTAGCCATCGTGGGCCCGTCGTTTTACAATGATACAACAAGAAAAAAGCCCTTTTTTTACCTTTCAATTGCGCCCTTCTTTCGCTTCGCTTCCTCCTTTACTTTTTCCTTCGCCAAGTCCTTCTTGTCCTTCTTCGAGTTAGGGCTACTTTCATCGAGTCGTATCCGCTTTGCATCCACTCCGTCTTCAGAGCTACCAAAAGCAGCAGTAGTCGAGCTCGATAGGGTATCTTTGTTCACATCCCACACGCGTACTGTTGAATCAGCACCGCCCGATACAAGCACATGACTATCTGCACTGAAAGCAAGTGAATAGATGAATCCAGTATGGCCGGTCATTCGCTTGAGTCGTCGACCAGAGCCTAGATCCCACAGCATGATGGACTTGTCCTCGCCTAGAAATACAAAAAATTTAGTTTTAAAGATTGCTTCTCTTATTAGTTACACAGCAAACAACAAATGAATACTTACCAGCAGATGCCATCAAGCGACCATTCGGCGATACCGCAACGGTCTTGATTGATCCGGTATGACCTGTAAAGACACGTACACACGTTCCTCTCTGTACGTCCCAAAGACGGCAAGTACGATCACTTGATCCTGTTACCAGGTATTTTGAGTTGGGATGGAATTTGACAGTCTAAAGCAACATAAAAAAAAACAAGGCACGGTCTGTTTAGTTTGATCCAGCTTTCGAGGATCACAACAACTTTTTTGTTGTGTATCCATTGCTCTCTTTTTTTTTCTATTAACTCACATCTACATCGGATAAATGGCCCGAAAAGATTCTCAAAGGATGGATATGATCACAGCTCCATAATCTTGCTGTTCGATCATGAGAAGCTGTAGCGAAATAGAAGCCGTACGGGCCAAAATCAACGTCCCAAATAGGATAGTTGTGACCCTTGTAGCAAACCAGGTTTGAGAAGGTTTGTGTGCTCCATAATCGTGCTATACATGTATCATGAATAATTAAACATTTTTTCTCTTCTATTTTGGAGAGAGACATGTATAACCCTACCCCCGACCATTTCCTTTTAGTTATTACCTGTCTTGTCCTCTGAACATGAAATCAAGTACTTGTTATCATGACTAAAGCTAACACCATAAACTGGTCCGGCGTGGCCAACCAATCGTTTGTATTCGGACCCGTGTCGTTCTTTTTGACGGTTCAGATCGTTATCTATATTTATAGAGTGTACAACGCAAAGCAAAAAATCAACCAATCCACTACTACTACTAGTGACCCCCTCCTGCTGCCTGAATAAAACTTACAGTCATTAACGTGTGCTGGATTAACCGTGTTTCGTAGTCCCTTTAGTTTTTCTCCCTTCAAACTCCAGATTTTGATGAATGATTCAGAGAAACCACCAGCAATAAGCGAAGTATCTTCCGTCATCGCTAAGCAATTCAATCTACAAAACATGTATACAAAAACATCAGTAAGGTGTAGGAGATCTCCAATATATTCTCCCTCTCAGATTTCCATCATCTCACAGCACAAAAGGAGACAAAGTCATATGGCAAGAGAAAGATATGAAAATAGAGCTTTTTACCCATCATGCGTGTTGTGGAAAGTGTAGCAACATACGCTTGGTAATGAAGCGCTACCAAGTGATACTCGCTTCCGCAGATCCTTTAATGATTCCAATTCTGCTTCGATGTCGGTGCCTCGACTAGATGTTAAGATTTATATATGCTGTTAGTAAACAGACACCATCCTTCATAGAATAACCCTCGTATGCCACAGAAAAACTCACTATTGTGGCAATGGTATATCACCAAACGCCGGTCCATCTGCTGTAGCCTCTTGCTTGACCTTTTTGAATGTATCCAATAACGCGACACCGGGTTCGATAACGGCAGTCTTAAAGCGTGGATTTAGGAAATCGCAAAATCTTCTTTAAAGTAACATATAGCATTTCATCAAGCATATCGAACAAACTTACAGGATCACTTGCAGCTTGCTCCTTTCTTGCAGCATCACGTTCTTTCAAAGTTCGTTCCACCTCTTCTCTGAGAGCTGGATCCATCTGTGTGCCACCCAACTGGACTTTCTGCTGATTGAACGACTCGATTTGTTGCGCTTCATGGCCAGCGATACCGATCACGCCTGCCATATCATCCATCTCCAATCCGCCCGCGGATTTCAACTTGCCATGAACCACTAAATCGTATTTGTATCTTTTTCAGTAACTCGAAAAAAAAAAAGAACATAAAGACGCGTTTTTAGAAAAAAGAAAATATTTTTACCTTGGATATTGAGATATTGATTTACGATCCGCAGTAAGAGCATATACTTGTTATCTTGAAGATAATTGAGAAACAGTTCAAAGGGCACGCTGGACATGCGCAGATTATACTTGTTGTTGCGATACATTTGGGCCAATTCGTTTTCGCGTATATGGTCTGGTGTAGTTACTGTTTCCAACCGACTAATATCGAGCGAGTGGAGCTCGACATGGTCCTTTTTGTACGTTTCCATGAAATATTTGGCTTGTTCTGACAAGTTCTTGCTGACAAGATCGAGGTAGGCGTGTACGAAAATGGGAAATAGAACAGATCGTAGTTCAGGCTTATGGAATTGTTTGTAGATTGAACGCGTTAGAAAAAAAATTAAAAACCATTGTGCGTGTGTATTGTGTGCAAAATTCAAGAATACAAGTATATAGAACAGACTGCTTACCTTGTACCAATCCAACGATTTTTCAATCCATTCGCGTAAATTTCGATAACTGACGTTATATGCATCTGGATCGCCTTCTTCTGCATCCTTATATTTGAATACATGACTAGCACCACCATTATTACCACTGCCACTAGCAGAAGTAGCAGCAGCAGCAGCAGCAGCAGCACCACCCGATGACGCCAACACTTGCGATAATTCTTCAAGAGACAAAGTATTCCCACTGGCTTCACGCGCAAAAATCGTGCCTGTTGCCTTGTAGCCCTTTTTCTGCAAATACGAGGCTACAATTTTATCGAGATCATCTTGTGATGGTAAATTGGCAGCTGAAGGTCTCTGTTGTTGTTGTTGTTGTTGTGTCTGTGTTGGTGTTGGTGGTGGCTGTTGTTGTGATGACTGATCGCCACCACCACTACTACTGCTGCCGACACCGTTGTTCGATTGCTTGTTGTCGGCACCACCAGCACCACCACCTTGATTCGATGACGGCCCTGGTGTTGCGTTTTGTTGTGGTGCAGGTGAGCTCATGAAGGGGGAGGGAGAGGGTGTATGGCGAATTCCGTTCTAGATCTCTTGTTTTCGTAAGTGTGACAAGAGAAAGAACAAGAAAGTCCAAGTCAAGGGATTGGGATTGCCTGCTTTTCTCAAAAGCTGAGTTTTGTAGTTCTCACAGACACAATTTAAGCTGGATGCTGTTGGAAATTCTCTTGCATTCTACAGTTATAGTGTAGAACTACCACATGGTGGCAAAAAAAGTAGTTGAGGTGTGTTGATGAATCGCTTCTAACATGTGTTATGCAATTTTAGCGACGAAGATAATACGATGAAAACGGTGAAATGGCGACAAAGATTCTCTGTTCTTGTTTGGCCTCTCTCTCTCTCTCTCTTTCTCTCTCTCATGTCGCTGCTCTTATTTGAGAAACCAGCCTATTGATATACTACAATTACAGCGTTTTATATAGACTAGCACTACCTGTGCTAAACGGTTTAACATGAGAACAAACTGTAAAGTGTAAAACACATATTTTCTTTTCACTATATCATCACACATGTAGAGAAGCATAAGGCAAAGGAGCGTCTGCATGGATGGATGACTTCTGATTAAAACGGAGCAAGAGAAGGAGAGGTTTACGACAGTGGTGTGAAAGACATGCAACGTTGGCTACTGTCGGCACACCGAGCAACAACAGCATCTAAACGACAACCATCGGTTTACCCGACATCATCATGGCAACAATTATCATATCCAATTTTCCATGGCAACAGCCAAGAATACGCCCTTGGCGGAAGAAAGTACCTGATACTATGCAAGAAACCGCTGTAAGCGATATTACTGATCGCTGCCATAATAATTGCTTTCGCTTTACGAGTGAGTATCTACACTGCCCATTTAGCAGTTATTAATCATAAGAACGAACTATCACCGCGCACTACAACGAACAAGGAACGTTACCATAGAGCCCTGCAATATCATCGATTGGTAGCGGTCGTAGTAGTAGCATAGTAGCATAACAGTCAAAATTCCATGGCAACTGATTTCGAAGCTCTTTTGTATGAACTTGTGCGGATGAGCGGATTGATTCCGTGTTTAATACTTAAAAAGGAAACTGTGGCGTGACAGCGGATCGAGTCAGAATTAATGGTATGTGTCCAAAGGTTGTGTGTGTGACGCGCACTTTTTTTTTTTTTTTTTGAAAAGCGCAGATGCGGGCGTTTTGTATTGGTTAACCCTTCCCTCCCGTTAAAAAAAAAAAGAAGACACATAACCGCAATGTCGTCCACGACGCAAGACCGGGTCACCCAAGTAAATCAGCTCTACGACACCGTCCTTATTTTGGACTTTGGATCCCAATACTCGCACTTGATCACTCGACGCATTCGTGAATTGGGCGTCTACTGTGAATTGTTACCATGCACGCAAAAGTTGGCTGATTTGCACTTTAAGCCCAAGGGTATCATTTTGTCTGGCTCTCCTTACTCGGTTTATGACCAGGATGCGCCTCGTGTCGACCCTGCCGTGTTTGATGCCGGTGTGCCTATCCTCGGTATTTGCTATGGCTTGCAAGAAATGACTACCCAGATGGGCGGCTCGGTCGTGCCTTGCGATCATCGTGAGTATGGCCATGCTATGCTCACTGTCGCCAAACATCCCGATCATCCCTTCATTGATAAGCTCTTTGATGGTTTATCGGGTGATATTCAGGTAAAGTTGTGTATCTTTGGAAGGATTCAGTTGGCGGAGTTGTTGGAATCCCTATCACCATCGTTGTATTGTACATGGTATATATATTTTATCCTCTGGTTGTGTGTGTCCTGTACTGATAAAGTATAACGTTTAGGTCTGGATGAGTCACGGTGATCAAGTGTCTGCCGCTGCTCCCGGCTTCACTGTCATTGCCAACACCCGCACTGCTCCCTACGCTGCCGTCGCCCATACCGAAAAGCCATTCTTTGGTATCCAATTCCATCCCGAAGTTACCCACACCGTCGATGGCCAAGCCCTGTTAAAGAACTTTGTCATTGGCATCTGTCAATGTGCAACCTCATGGACCATGGAATCGTTTGTGGACAAGGAAGTCGAGCGTATCCGTAACATTGTGGGCCCCACTGGCCGCGTCGTCGGTGCCGTTTCCGGCGGTGTTGACTCGACTGTGGCCGCCAAGTTGATGCACGAAGCCATTGGCGACCGCTTCCATGCCATTCTCGTCGACAACGGTGTCATGCGCTTGAACGAATGCCAGAACGTCAAGAAAATGCTGGGTGAAAAGATGGGTATCAACATCAAGGTCAGCGACGCATCTGACTTGTTCTTGGGTCGCTTGAAGGGTGTGACCGATCCGGAACGCAAGCGCAAGATCATCGGCAACACGTTCATTGAAGTCTTTGAGGCCGAGGCTGCATTGATTGACAAGGAATGTGGTGGTGAGATCGAGTATTTGTTGCAGGGCACGCTTTACCCGGATGTCATTGAATCCATCTCGTTCAAGGGCCCCTCGGCTACCATCAAGACGCACCACAATGTCGGCGGTCTGTTGGAGGACATGAAGCTCAAGTTGATTGAACCGCTTCGTGAATTGTTCAAGGATGAAGTTCGTGCGCTGGGCGGTATCCTCGGTTTGGATGACGAGCTTGTCTGGCGCCATCCTTTCCCTGGACCTGGTATTGCTATCCGTATCTTGGGCGAAGTCACAAGGGAACAGGTTGAAATCGCTCGTTTGGCCGATAACATTTACATTGAGGAAATCAAAAAGAACGGCTTCTACCGCCAGATCTCGCAGGCTTATGCCGCCTTGTTGCCTGTCAAGGCTGTCGGTGTCATGGGCGACAAGCGTACCTATGAACAAGTCATTGCTCTCCGTGCTGTCGAGACCAAGGATTTCATGACTGCCGATATCTGCTCTGGTGCCGAATGGTTCGTCTGCTTGAAGCGCATCAGCTCAAGAATCATCAACGAAGTCAAGGGCGTCAACCGTGTCGTCTATGATATCAGCTCCAAGCCCCCAGCCACCGTAAGTGTCGCTGCTCACTGTAGTTTGTGTTGCGGAGGAGAGAGAGAGAGAGAGAGAGACCCTGCATAAAACATACTAACTTTTGGTTCAATATATAGATCGAATGGGAGTAAAGTGTAACTCATTTAAAAAGCAACAACCACGTTTAGTTATATAGCATTTTGTATACTTCATCCTTTTCTTTCATGATTTCCTCTTTTGTTTCTTTAGCATTTTTAAAAATATATAATACAATGTATGTGTTCCAATGAATCTATTATATTTTATATTATGTAATTTGTATACTTTATGTGTATGAACAGATAGAGAGTATGCAGAAAAAGAAATAGTAATTTGTATATGTATAGAGTAAAGAAGCGCTAAAATACATGGGAAACAGGGGCAGTGTGGATGTAGTATGAATGTACAAGGATATAGAACAAGCAGGGGGAAGATCAAAGCAGAAGTTGCATGAGTAAAGAAGTACGTGTACGTAATGGATTAGGGCGGTGCTGTTATATGCAAAAGAAGGAGATGGAGATGTGTTCAGTGACTACCAGCCTCGAAAGCTTTCCCAGCAGTGGTTGTCATACGTGGGTCGTGGTCTACTACCCCTTTGGTGGTAAAGATCCAGTAGCAATGTTGGGTCCATATCCCTCGATACGGCGTTTTGACGCTGTTCCCAGTCGACGCAGTACTTTAAGCTTTGCGAGAGCTCGGCAGGTTCTTGAGACGCACCACAAGCAGTCAGTCGTCGTTGTCGTTGTCGGCGATGATGGCTGTTACGGTTCATGATGGATGCTGACGATGGTTTTTGTTGAGGTTGTGGTGCTGCTGGTGGTTGTCGAGTGAGCATTGCGGAGAGCAAAGACGGCCGGGGTTGCTGTTGCTGCTTGGCAATCAATGTCGGAGTCTTTTTGATGAAATCTGTCTCGGAAGCGTTAGGGGTAAGACAGCTACTGTCGTACCGATGGTTGGCAAAGGTTGGTGTGCAACACTCTTGATCGTATGTGCGGACAGTGCTCCAGCAACCATCTTCATCCATCGTGTTGTTGTTGTTCCCAGTAGCAGCCATAGCAGTGACACGTAGAGCAGCATCATCATCATCTTCTTCCTCCTCTTCTTCTTCGTCATCATCAGAAACGAAAAACTTGCGTGTGGGTTTCGGCGCGGAAAATGGTTTTTTGGGCTGGGGTGCCACTACCGCCATCGGCTGCGCATCCAATTTAGGAGTCGATGGCTGCTGTGATGATGATGGTGGTGGTGGTGGTGGTTGTACGACAGATGTATTTGTCTGTGCAACTGCTGCTGTTGCTGCAGGTGTTGTGCATGGCGACGGCGGCGTTGATGTTGGTGTGGGCAACAGTTGTGGCTGCTGCTGCCGCTGTTGTTGTTGTTGTTTTTCAATAGGATTATAATCGAGGGAAGAAATCATTCGTTTAAAGGATGATGGTGACATGTGTTTGAGAGAAGGTGGCGTTTGCAGCGTCGACTCACAAGAGGATGCAGCAGACGATGATGCTGATGCTGATGATGCATAACTGAAATAGTCATCGTTATCAGTGCAGTTCTTGTTGTTGTTGTTTGACTGGATTGGAATGGGCGTACGGACGTGTTGTTCGTGCGCCTTCTCGATCAAGGATTCACGATACCATAATCGCCAGCTCAGATTTTCAAGTCGTCGACCATTTTCAAGGTTGTCTTTGCATTTGGTGAAGACTATCAAAAATTCATCACTTATCGTTAGTCTCTTGCCCGTTATCGTGCACGGCATACACACAAGGTGCAGTGATAGATAGATAAAAAAACGTACCGGTCCACATGCAGGACAGGTCATCGCTGGTGATATTATTGAGCTTGTGTATGTTGGGCACAGCCAAGGAGACGACGGGAACGTCGAGCGACTGAATCATTTATAAAGGCGTAAAAAGTAGAAAGTAGAGAGTAAAGAAGAAGAAGAAGAAAGAGATTTGCCGGCTGAGGTCGAGATTATTATTTTTTCCAGTGATAACGGCAACACACGCTTTTACGGAATCGGATCTTGAATCCTTGGACAGGGTCGAGATCTCTCTCACTTATATTAAACCTGTTTCAACCACTGGTACTCCTGCTGCTACTACTGCTACTAAACACCCTTTAGGGCAAACCATCGCTCCTCCACACTCTGAGCTAGACACGAGTGTGCCAAGGCGTGCGATACTATGCGTGTTGTTATTTGCTGACGCGAAAAAAAAGAGAGAGAGAGAGAGAGGCTAACGGACTAAGCACGGATAAAGGAAAAACAAACTTTGATTATTATTATTTTTTTGGCGCCATCCATCGGCGACGTACGGATGGGGGCCACGACCTTGTCCTAGCCAATCAGCAGGCGTGACGAGCGGCGATCCCCAAAGTATTTTATCTTTTTTTTTTTTGTGTTTGTTTGCCCTTAAACCAAAATTGTCCCCGTCAAGGGAGAGAGAGAGAGTCGGAAATCTGGCTATTAATCCCGTAGATTACGAAACCCTATCTTCCCTGTGGCTAAAAGCAGCAACCCCATCTATCTTCCAAGGACTATAGCGCCCCCACTGTGTTTTTTGAGTGTACTTGGTTATCACCAAGAACATACAAGCCTTGGTTTCTCTTACGGTGTGTGGGAAATGCCGTTATCCTCATTCCAAGTATTCTATAAGCTGCGTTGCACAATGTATAAAAAAAGGTCCGTTCGCATGGTGTATTCACTGATAAAAGATAGAATATCAGCAAACCCTATTCATACATTGATACGAAGACATCCCTTTGTATTGTAGTGTGGAAGGTCTTGGTATAGCAAGCTGTTGCCATCTGTGGAGTTGTTGATCCATTAAGGAAAATACTTGGAGTACAGAGTACATACATTTAATGCTCTCTGCGTGCGTTTCTTTTACGCCAATGTTACACCGTAGACGACTATCATAACCCTAAGCGCCGCAACCTCATACGATCTCGCACAGCTTTCTGAGAAAAAAAAAAGATGACATGATATCTAGCATGTGTACAGCTGTCATGGTAAAAGAGCAAATGTGCGGGGTGTTGGTTAAGAGTGCTGTTGATGCTGACAATAGCAGAATCATGCGCTCCTTGAGTAAGCATATAGAAGAAGCTCCCGCGTTCAATTTTCTGATAAACACGTTGCGGGGATGGGATGGGATGGGATGGTCCAAAAATGGAAAAACTCGCCGGGAGGAGAAGGATGATTTTCAGCCCAATGGTAAAAACAAACAAACAAAGAGTGTGGTTCTTCTCTAACCTCTTTTGGTGCCATGACACTGGTAGACTAAAGTCTTTGATTCCGTTCTGCACTGTTGTGTGCTATTATACATGCATTCAAAGAAACGTCATGACTGTTTCCGTGATGATGCATGAACAATTGTTATGAAGACACACGTCAGGTAGACACATTTGACTCCATTATGACGAGAACGTGTACAATGATACGTGATTGTAAGCCACATCATTCAAAAGCCCAGTTTGATGCAGTCAAAGACTCTGTGTGCTTAATATTTTATAACAGCAACAACACGCAGTTTTGTTGTGTACGATCTGTCACGTATGTATTACCACCGTGATATACCAGTTCAGGCACTTTACACATCGTTCGTCAGCTGACTATACCGAATCCTCGGCTTTTGGGGGCATATGACATGCGTTACCTCTGCGATCGCCCGACAGTCAAGCGGTGCGTCCGGCCCTTCACAAATCACGTGCAGCATTTTTAGTTGACCAGAAGGCGGTATGACGAGGAAGGTGAGGATTTGGATGCCATCATGATGGATGTAGTAGTGTCTTCCGAGTGCTCAGAGCTATCTTTGCCTTAAGCAGTGTTGTGCTTATTGATGTAGTGTCACTCTTGTCTCGATTGGCTAGTGACAAGAAGAGCTGATACACAAAGTCTTGAATAGAGAGTGACTAGTCCTACAGCAGCATCTTGCACGGGAGAATAATGGCTATAGTAGTAAACGTTCAACAGTGAGAATAATATAGATGAGCCATCGACCATCATCGGTATGTAAGTACGCGATCTCTTTCGGCAACATATAGAATAAGCGCCTACTTCTCAATAACCAAGACATGATCGTATATTAACTTGCATCACAGATGATTCATCTTTTATGATAGCACACAGTTAGCCTTCAACAAGCTTCTTTGTGGTATGACATATTAGAGCTTTGACGGATGCTTGGACAGGACTTTTCAAATACGACCAAGCACTTAAAAATATATCAAGTATGAAGCTGTAACGTCAACGTTTGCGCTGTATATATATTGATTGGGGCTTCTTTTCATCTTCTCCTACAAAACGATGGGTTGAAACACGACAACAGCCGGGAACACGAAGAGGAGCATAACACAACAGGTGCTTGCTTGATAAAACGATACATGTACAAAAATAAAGCTGTCATGTCATTTATTCGAATGCACCAATGTACGGAATCCATAAGCATATATCTATGTGGCGGGAGCCTTTTCTCTTCTTCCTCTTCCTTTTCCTTTATATTTGACTTTTCAATATTACCTTCAAGTCTCATCCAGAGCTCACCGCTATACTTGCGACACATGCGAAAAGAGTCCTCTAAAAATCATGTTTTGCAGCCCAAAGATCACACAGTGACCAGGACAGAGTTCGAAGCGTCCAAAATCAATGTAATCATCATAGTGAAAATCTTATCGAATTGCTGTATACTAAAAAAAAAAAATTCCATGCAGGGAGAGCCAACGTTAACACGCGTACTGATGAAACCATTTCTGTACTTGGTTTTGGTGGAGGTACCAAATGTATGTACTTTGAAATGGGAAGAGTATTGTGATGAAAGGGGGAAAGAATCGAAACACGAGACGTTATTAATGCTCGATATACTTCGCATAGGATGAAGACGGCCATGACGACGACGTAGACATGGTCGAAAAGGGGCTCGTTTCCGCACTTGATATGGAGTTCGAAGAGTACAATGGTGTTGACGCGGGTTTCGAGTTGGAGGTGCAACAAGCCGGTCAAGAACAGCAGATACAGAACAGTAAGTTGTCAGCATCCCCTTATTGTGCTCTTATATGCCATAACTAACTTACTTGTCTTGTAAAGGCACTGGAGCCGAGGTCCAATCTAGTGTGGTCTTCATGGCAGCCTTCTTTGCCATTTTCCAAATGTTGTACCTCACCAACAAAGCGTCGTCTCTTCTCTTGCTAATCTTCAACAGAATACCTGCTCTCAATGGCATCGGGTACAGATCCAACATCACCCCGTCGACTGTCAAGCAGCAGATAGAATACAATTCCCTTTCCAACAGCATTATCCGATTCGTCGTCTGCCTGACATGTCACGCCAATTAGGACAGCAACAACCTACCCGAAACCGGCTCGTTTGTTTGCTTTCCAAACCATCCTCGAATCGATAAACGATCACCATGCAGCAAGCCGCTTCTCATTAACAACAGCCCTATCAAAATATATCCGTACAACTCCATCATCAGCAACATCATTTTCTCTTGTTTAACCGACCTCAGTTCGAAGACCAGATTGAAGAATGGCGCCAGCGCCATGTTGATCCACATACCTTGTACGACGTACACGAAGGTGAAATGTGCACCACTATCCCTGATCCGTCAAACCCAAACTCGCCTTTTATTGAACAACCTCGCATGCTCTTCTGTACCTTGAATGTCGATTGGTTCAACCCTTTCACCAACACACAATATTCATCCGGTGCCATCTACTTGACGATAAACAACCTGCCGCCCTCCATGCGCTATAAAATGGAAAATGTCATTTTAGTCGGTATGATGCCAGGACCACGCGAACCAAACACTTCCGATAGCAACAACTACTTGCGCTCACTCGTTTCCGAGCTCATTACCTTGTACCATGGTATCGAAACGACGACCTACAAAAGCAACGCCATTCATGTCACCATCCGTGCAGCCCTCTTCATAGTTGCATGCGACATTCCAGCTCCACGAAAAGTTTCCGGCTTCACAGCACACAACAGCATCCGAGCTTGCTATAAATGCGACCGTGCATTTGCACCACAAATGGGTAATGCCATGCGCCGCAACTACGCAGTGTTTGATGTCGAGCCAGCAAGAAGCAAGGACCAAAACGAAGCAGCAGCCCTGGAATGGTCAAGAGCAAGTACACCGGCAGTGCGTAAGAGAGTCGAGCAGGAGACAGGCACAAGATGGTCAGAGCTCCATCGGCTGGAATATTTCGATGTCGTGCGCAGCACAATCATTGATGGGATGCATAACCTCCTGCTCGGTAGTTGCAAGCGTATGATCAGCATTTGGATGGACAACGGATACCTCACCACGCGAGTCCTCGAATCGATGCAAGCCAAGGCAGACTGTGTGCTGGTGCAACCGGGATTTCGACATCTTAGGCACCAAGATCGTCAACCGTTTTGCTGGCATGAAGGCTGCCGAGTGGAAAAGCTGGGTCTTGGTATACTCCCCCTGTGTTTTTAAGGCCGTAAGCGCAATTCCAGAGGCGGATCTGACAAATTAGATGCATTTTGTCAATGCTTGTCACTTGTTGTTAAAACCATCGATCACCAAGGACGAAGTCGACAAAGCACACGACTTTCTGCTGACATTCTGTAATGGATGTAAGCGATTGTACGGTGCTGACGCCACCACACCGACAATACATATGCAATATTCACCTATGTCAATGCATCTTTGGACTTTGGACGTGTGTACGCGCAATGGGTATTCAGTTTCGATCGTTACACCGGTCTCATTGGCAACACTGATACCAACAAGAAGGGTGCGTTCGAGGTGACTTTTGTCCGGGTCATTCCTGGAGCATGTTCATGCTGCAGATTTCGTTTGCCCGGTTGCCACAAAACCTCGATGCCGAAGATACTGCTTTCCAGATGGATATGGTCAGCAACCCACCTACCACCACTACCACTAATCGGCTTTCTTCTGCAGATGCGTTCGATATCGATGACTTCGTTTTGCTGTCAACGCAGATTGTCAATGCGACAGGAGCCGAACCACTGCCACCATCTGCTTTGCCTGATAAGCTACGACCGTATGTTCTCCCTGCCGTTCTTTACGACGCTCTCATAGAATATTATGGTAACGCGTATGGTGACCAAGGTGTACAATTTGCTGGTTACGTTGAGGCGGAAGACGGATTGGTTGTTGTGCGGCCGAATGTTGCAATGTTCTCTCTCGTCTGAAACTCCAAGGCCATCTATACCGGTCCAAAAAATCAGTCAGTAAACGTGGATCGTATATCCAAACCCTGTATCTTCCGCGCTCAAGCCAACAGCCTGCAGCATATCCAGGTCAAATCGACTTCTTTTTTCGCCACGATGTAACGATTGAAGGCACCACCAAGTCCCATTTCTTTGCTGCTATGCATTGGAATCTGTCGAGCGGTGTTACACAGCTTGATGCAAGCGTAGGTGTCGAGCTATGGTCAAAGAGAACAGAAAATCTATTTTGGCAACCGATAATACCTGTTGCTTGAATCCATTGACCTGTTGCCATCGCCACATACAGCATTAACAACCTCATCGTTCCCATTACATTGAAAAAATCACCGCTTAATACTTCCTTCTCATTCTCCCCTTCCAGTTGTTAAAAAATAGAAAGAAAAAGTCTTTTTTCTATGCCCAGCCCAACTACTGGACCATGCTGGTGCATATATATATTAAAAAAAAGTCAATGAGATTTTGTGACTCTTCCTCATCACGGCGTGAAGCAAAGGGAACGAGAAAGCCAGGTTCACGGTACTCGACTTCGACCACCCGCCTACAGGCATGTTGCCTATAGACGGTGGGAGCGACCAAGTGCTCCAGAAAAGCAGTTGCCTACAGAAAAGTGAATGTTTGATTAGTATCACTAGGTCAATTGTTTTTAACTTCACTGTTTACAGTACTAACTCTTCTGCTTCTCCAGCTTGGACGCTTCGTCATCCAACGTTCTTGCTGTTGGGTGGACGACGAAGCCGTCTCCTCCGCATCAGTCTCGTCCTCTGACATATAGTCAAAGGATAAAACCTGCACACATTCGGTAGAGAAGAGGCTTGTGCAGTCTTCCTGTTGGGCCTCGAAGACGCCGGTGCGACGTTGCAGTTTCTTTATAGATCAAAATACAGACAAATTAAAGGATAATTAAGTAACCTTTACAAACACTTTCGTAACAATGGTTTAAATACATACTCTAAGAGCTCGCTGCCGGCGTCGTCGAGCCTTGTTCTCGGCCTCAACATCGGGCTGCTCCTTCTTGCTTTGTCCCTTCTTATACTTGAAGTGGGACTCAAACTTGCCCTTGACGAAGCGAGCCCAGTCTTGAATGTGAGGCCGAGTCGCAGCCTCACTATGGAGCGCCTCGTACACCGGCAATGCCACAGTCTGGTTGTAGGCATCGCCGAATGGGAGGTCAAAGTCGAAGCCTCTGTTGCGCTTGCGACAGAAGCCAACTTCATAGATGCCTAAAAAAGGTGTATGTTTCTCTCTTTGAGTACCTCTTTCTTACTCTTTAACCTGGTGTTAAGTATTATATAGTAGCTTGACTTATATCAAAGGTGCTGTCGCGTTGTTGCTGTGACTGCAATGGTTGCAGGGGATCGCACTTTTCCAATGAGCAATGGTGAGCTCCATAAGCTCAGCAACAGCCGAAAAAATTTTGCCCTTCGAAACGTCGGAGAACGCCAGCTCTGCGAGATGTAGCTGAGTCCAGGAGCCAATGGTGGTGCCCACAGCAGAGTGATAACTCGGCAGACAATAATTAAGCAAGGAATAGGGAGGAGAAGTGTAGTGTAAGTAGGCTTAAAGATAGCATCTACTGGAATGAGACAATAGACGAGTCCTTCGGAGTGCTAGCTTTTCTAATATTAGAAAGCTTCTTTGTAACATTTGAACAGAAAAAACAGATAAAACTGCAGATAAAAGTCGACAAGTAACACATTTCTCTATTTACAACAGTTGATACTCTCACTTACAGTAACAATCTGATTCTAGATTTGATTCTCTGCTTCAAGGAAAGAGAATCAAACTGGCCCGATTTTTGTTCTCGGCTCCTCGGCTCTCATAAGGGTCATCAGTAGGATCCTTATACTACTCTAATACTAACGGCATGTAAGAGGCTGCCATCACCTTCTATGAGCCTCTATACATACTAACAACAGACTTAAGATACATCAAAACAATACCTGCTGGACAATGTAATATCCAATAAACCAAAAGAGACAGAATAAGTCAACGAGACCCGAAAGGAATTGAACTGGTTTATTATGATAACAAAAGTTCTCATTATTTATAAGAAATGGCTTATCCTTGGCAACTACCACAGCGTGTGCATTGAACGAATGAATTGATGTTATAAATCAATCATATAGGATTAAGTAATGTATGATGCGTGAGTAAAAGGTACATCCGGGTAAATGCCTCAGATAGTAGCTAATGTGAATTACATGATCCGAATAATGACAACTTCTTCCTGAGCATAGCTGATCGGTGTTTCACCAAGATGTGTATGAATAAGGAAATGTCCGCACAAGTGAGGTTATGAGGGAAATACAGGATTTTTCATCTCCTAGCGGACGTTTGAACTTTTATTTAGGCAGAGTGGACATGAATGAAAGTTAATCTGGACATGAATATTAACTGATCTGGACATGAATGAAAATCGAGCTAGACATGAATGAAAATCGAGCTGGACATGAATGAAAATCGATCTAGACATGAATGAAAATCGAGCTGGACATGAATGAAAATCGAGCTGGACATGAATAAAGATCGATCTGGACATGAATATAAAACGATCTGGACATGAATATACATCGACCTGGACATGAATATAAATCGATCTGGACATGAGTAAAATCAATCTGGACAAAATAAAAATCAATCTGTACATGAATGAAAATCATTCTGACAAGAATAATAATCAATCTAAACATGAATAATAGACAACCTGGACATAATAACAGTCAACCTGGACATAGTTTTAGTCAACTAAGACATAATAAAAGTTGAAGTAGATAATATATTAAGTATAGCAGAGCAGAATATATGAGTACTTAAGATTTCAATTCAAGTCAAGACATAATATAAGTTAAGCAGTACAAAGCCAATGTCAAGATATAGTAGTATGGCTGTTTCACTCGTGACAAGAAGCTTGTAGGCTAATGTACAGGAAATGGCAAGGGTGCGTCAGAGACTCACTGTGCGCATAAGGCATAAGCCTATTTTGCTGCTGTGGGAATAGGGCCTGAGCGTTTCCCCTCATTTCACTTTACCCGGGTTGAGTTTGAAACAAATTGGAGGCTGGTGGCAGAGGTAGGTGGAAAGTGTGGGGTTTGTTAGCAGCAGCAGGGAGGAAAAAAACAACAACCAAAGATCCTTTTTTTTTCTCATTACCATTCGCCATGGCAAATCAACAGCTTCGACGCACACTTGTAAATGGCTCCTACTCTCTTCACGATGAATAAAAAACAAAGAAAACAAAACGGCACAATCCACGGATTTATTGAAAAACGAAATGAAGGTAACTGTTTTCTTAAAAAAAGCATGTGCTCAAGATTTAGAAAGGAGTAGACCGCCGTTACTGCTGCTTAAAAAAACGCTGGGTAAGTAAACAAGGGAAGGGAAAGGTTACTGGTTGTGCTTGGGGTATAGCTTTAGTAGACATACGCTCATTCAGAATTACTGTTTTTTTTCTTCTCTGTATATACTTGATGCACCATCTTGCACCATTCCAACGTCAGACTTACGTGCGTAATACAACATCGTCCTCTACCTGCACAAACCATTCGTACTCACAACAAGAACGACGCAACAATTTTCTTCTCCATTACTCATACACAATTATATACAACATGACGCTGATCCGCCATTGACTTGCAAAATATACAGCCTGACGCGATTACTTTTTACCTTTTGCATATACCAACGTTAACATCGCCGGTCTTTATGGAAAATGAGCTGTAGATAGCAGGAAGGATAACTGACAGGTTTCTTTCCTTTTGTGTTGCTGTGGATTGGATGAAAATAAAGTATGTTGACCGTTATATAAGAAAGATAACGAAGAAGGTTCTACAAGAGTTATGCAGGTGCGAAGGATGTTGTTTCGTGGTGAAGGATGGTTATTGTAATTATTGGCATTGCGTGGCAGAGCGTCTGATACCACTCACAGTCTCGCGTTTGTGAACCCATTTGTAGCCACACAATTCCGAGATGCGATCCTTAAAGATCTGCCATTAAGCAGCAAGAAGGCGCACGATTTCATTGGGAATGAGTGCAAGAACTCCACGTACAGTCGATTGAGAGAGAGCGTAGCGAATGTTGTCAAGGGTAGTAACTTGTTGGTTGTTCATAGTTGTTGTTATTAATGAAAAATAAACTTGCTGTTGTGATAGCAAAGGAACTTCCTCCTTCATAACAACGAACGCCTTTTCTTCTTTGTCCCTGCCATATTATCATCCCGCTGACAGCTATATCTATAGTTTTTATAGAAGCACTTGTAATAACATGCAATCCCATCTCACACCCGTTTATGCAGACAACTGGAACATAATGACTACATAATGTATGATCTTTTACTTTTATTTTTTTCATCCCAACCATAACATCTACAGTAACAATAATAAAACCCTACATACCACCCATCAGCATATATAGCTACCTTATCCATCAAGACCGGCAATGTTCGTGTTGGCATATGCAAAAAGAAAAAGGTAATCGTTGTTGCCATCGTGTGTGTGCGAGTACAGCGAATTGCAGAGGAGGATTATAGTTGTGGTGGTGTGTATGCATCATAGGAATATAATTATCATCGCAGTGATGTGAATACAAACAGCAAAGAAAGAGATGACCGTCATTACGATGATGATGTGCTTGAGCGTACAAGTATTAAAACAAAAAGACCGGCGTCATAGTCGTCATCGTGTAATATGGGCGTACATGATAGTGAAAAATAAATGCGTCAGGCTGTATATTTTGTAAGTCAATGGCGGATCAGCGTCATGTTGTATATAATTGTGTATGAGTAATGGAGAAGAAAATTGTTGCGTCGTTCTTGTTGTGAGTACGAATGGTTTGTGCAGGTAGAGGACGATGTTGTATTACGCACGTAAGTCTGACGTTGGAATGGTGCAAGATGGTGCATCAAGTATATACAGAGAAGAAAAAAAACAGTAATTCTGAAAGAGCGTATGTCTACTAAAGCTATACCCCAAGCACAACCAGTAACCTTTCCCTTCCCTTATTTACTTACCCAGCGTTTTTTAAGCAGCAGTAACGGCGGTCTACTCCTTTATAAATCTTGAACACATGCTTTTTTAAGAAAACAGTTACCTTCATTTCGTTTTTCAATAAATCCGTGGATTGTGCCGTTTTGTTTTCTTTGTTTTTTAATCATCGTGAAGAGAGTAGGAGCCATTTACAAGTGTGCGTCGAAGCTGTTGATTTGCCATGGCGAATGGTAATGAGAAAAAAAAAGGATCTTTGGTTGTTGTTTTTTCCCTCCCTGCTGCTGCTAACAAACCCCACACTTTCCACCTACCTCTGCCACCAGCCTCCAAATTGTTTCAAACTCAACCTGGGTAAAGTGAAATGAGGGGAAACGCTCAGGCCCTATTCCCACAGCAGCAAAATAGGCTTATGCCTTATGCGCACAGTGAGTCTCTGACGCACCCTTGCCATTTCCTGTACATTAGCCTACAAGCTTCTTGTCACGAGTGAAACAGCCATACTACTATATCTTGACATTGGCTTTGTACTGCTTAACTTATATTATGTCTTGACTTGAATTGAAATCTTAAGTACTCATATATTCTGCTCTGCTATACTTAATATATTATCTACTTCAACTTTTATTATGTCTTAGTTGACTAAAACTATGTCCAGGTTGACTGTTATTATGTCCAGGTTGTCTATTATTCATGTTTAGATTGATTATTATTCTTGTCAGAATGATTTTCATCCATGTACAGATTGATTTTTATTTTGTCCAGATTGATTTTACTCATGTCCAGATCGATTTATATTCATGTCCAGGTCGATGTATATTCATGTCCAGATCGTTTTATATTCATGTCCAGATCGATCTTTATTCATGTCCAGCTCGATTTTCATTCATGTCCAGCTCGATTTTCATTCATGTCTAGATCGATTTTCATTCATGTCCAGCTCGATTTTCATTCATGTCTAGCTCGATTTTCATTCATGTCCAGATCAGTTAATATTCATGTCCAGATTAACTTTCATTCATGTCTACTCTGCCTAAATAAAAGTTCAAACGTCCGCTAGGAGATGAAAAATCCTGTAACAGCAATCGTTAATGACAGATTAAAGAATAAGTGTTATTGAACATGTTGGATACAACAGACAATATACTTACTAATGCTCAACTAACAAATTGCTGATGACCTTGTCACTGAGGACCCAACATCTGACAGCCAAGTAGTATGCACCGAAGCAAAGCAGTGCAGGGTTAGATGGACTGCAATATGTGGTTTGGTACCTGCTTTTCCAACATCAATCGCTGTATGCAATGCTTATTTGTGATATATATAATATGAAGCTTATCAGCTTGCGTAGTATTCACCTTCCTAGCAGGAAATTCGTATCACCATCCTATCAAAAAAGGCGACCGTCATCTCTTTGGAACTGACGTTGTTACCACCACTAATCATATGTGTGCCGCTGGACCCAATTCAGTAGGATAGCGATGTGGGAAGAGAATAAAATTTTTAAACGCGTCAGATTATATATGTAAGCAGTTAAAGCAAACATGAGGTAACATGGCCGAGTTGGTCTAAGGCGCCAGACTCAAGTTCTGGTCTCGCAAGAGGCGTGAGTTCGAATCTCACTGTTACCAGTAGCTGTTAGAAATAATAGTTTCAATTTTTCACTTTTTTTATTTGTCTGTTGTCGTATTTCTCTATAGATAGAGACCAGACGAAGAAGTATAATCACAGAGAGGATAGAATAGTTCCAAGATGATATTTTATTCTATTTAATAAAGGCTACGCATTTTATGTATATATTTTTTTGTAGCTAAAAATATAAATAATAAATTACTGCCGATAATTATTATCGGTGATATGACGATATAATAAGGTCAAATTTATAATTTGAATGCTATAGGCAGTTTACATTGACATATACATAGACCTTTGCCAACTCAGTGGCGGGACAGATCATGCGTGTCTGTTGTTTCGGACAAGCCGATTCAGATGTCTTTAAGGAAGCTTACAGGCACCTGGAAAGACCAGTCCATTGGTATGCAGTGATTATGAATTGATGCTGCCGTAGCATATGTGTTTGGTTAAGGGCTTGGTTTTATCAGGATTTCTATCACATTAGCAACTGTCGCTTACCCATTACTAAATACAAGCGGTTCATAATGGGTGTGATGAATATTTACACTACTTTGAGATTGATTCAAGCTATTCAACGCACTCCGCCATCTTCGTAACTTTCAAAAGACAGTAGAGGGAATACCACGCAGACAGATGAACCAATATAGATGATACATAATCAGCACCATATCATTAATCCCTTAAACATGGATCATAATCGAGTATAACGCAGAACCAACTATTGTATACACAACGTTGTATTCTCGTAATCAGTCAACAACACTTTCTCTCGATTCAGATATTTGAGTTGCACCGAATGGACTTCTTGAAGAGCATGAGTCAACTCCAATACAGAAAAAGGTGGTAATGCATCAAGAAACACACTGATCAAGGCAAAGATGTCCTTTTACACTCGAAAGACAAGATGCATCATCATCATCATGGTATGCAAACTCCACCTTCCCCATCTTTCCTCGTCTTGAAAAGGTACAATATCCGGTATGTCTGCGATTCGTCCATCAGTTTATAAGAACGGAAGTCTAGATGGCATCACAAGCAGTTAATACAGGGCTGTGAACTCATTAAATTAAAGTCATTTCATATTTGACTCTCACCATACTTGATTTGTCTTTTATTTGCTCTCTTTCTTTTATCTATAAACTATTCACGGTTATCACAATGGGGCAAGAAAAGTGAGTATATGAGTTCATGTCCAAAATTTATACTCTCAACCGTTTTTGTGGAAGGAATATCCAGACGCCGAATTAATTCTCACAGTACGCGATCATGACGTATGGTACGAATTAGTGAAAAAGCATTACGCATCAATACCGCCGACAAACACATCAGAGCATATTATCGCGACATAGTACGTACAATTGTGCTGAGCAGTTCCTTTCGTAAGGCGGAAAAAATTTCTCAATGCGCAATATAAGAAGGGGAAGTTTGTCAAGCATAATGTGTAGGGAAAGACGGATTGATGATAGGTGGTAGTAGTGATGCTTTTGGTTGTGATAAAGTGCTGAAATGCGTGACGATCCGAAAAATTGCAGCTATAGGTTATTACTCAGTAGTTAGGTCGCTATACAAAAAGGTAGAAGCAGGATACTAATTTTTTCAATGCCACAAAATATCAGCATGCCAACAAGGTGAGGAAAAATCAGAAAAGTGTGAAGGCAGGAGGAAACTACAGGTATGACTAGATGGATCAAAGGGTGGGTTCTAAAAATTGCACAAAATTGTCACATACAATTTAAGCACACGGTCTTCAATTGTGAGCTAAAACTCACTCACGAATAGCACGTACCTTCATACATATTGCAAAAGTTGAGTAAAGGAAGTTGCACTCTCGTTTACTCCTGAAGACGTTCTTTTTGCATAAAACTTCAAGCCGCCTTTTTATATTTAGAGTACCGCTTCTAGTCCCGGATGGCCTGGCAAAAGGAAAGCTGGGCAACCAGACATTTTCCCTGCTGTTACTTCTACCCGCTCCTCCTGTCAAAATAAAGCAATAAAGGGAAAAAAAATGCTTGTTCGATCACGGTTTGCAAGCATACCCCATTACCAACAGATCGCTCTATTACGGCAACGATCGATCCATCAAACTCCCGCTGCCACTAGTACTGGTGAAACGATCCAACCTCGTACAGACGAAGATCGTGCTGAATCTTTTACAAAAAATGTTGACAGTGCAGAATCGCAACCAGATCAACAACGATCGAGTTTCTACACAAGCGCTACCACTACAACGGAAACAAATAAACCTTCCACGAACGAGATTGGTGCGGAATCTGATACCAGTGCCAAATCTACTCAAAGACCTCAACATCAGCGAAGAAGGTCCTTGGCAGAGCGACTGTGGGCAAAACTCGAAGGAGAACTAGAAGATACTGGAGAAACAAAGGTAGCGCCTTTTGCGTTTTTATGAAGAGTGCGTTTCTGCAGAGCAGGAGTAAGAAAAATGATTTTTTTAAATTGATCATGTTAATAGTCTGATGCTGTCATATTGACAACGAAAAGCAAACTCAACAAGAAACTCAAAAGGCCATCAACACCTACAAAATGGGAGAAAATAGATTATAGGCTCAAATATGAAAGCAAGTATATAACAAAAAGAAAGCCTTTTTTTTCCATGTACAGAAGCGATCGGATGCTGTGGTAATTAACTGCATGAATTTCTCTATTATAGGGGTGGAAGCACCAGAGCAACCAGAAGTGGCTACACTGGCGCATGGATTGGATCGGGTGCTTTTCAAGTAAATGTCCTTTTTTTTTTTTGAATGGTTGGATATGTGTACACGCACACAGTATTGCGCTATCTATATTTGCTAACGTGGACTTTGCTACTTCAATTACTACCTAGTCCAGGTGTACATTATCTCAAAGATCCTCGAACACGCGAATTTAACTTTACCCCATTTTTGGAATACACTACACAGCCAGCCAATTTTGACTATGACATGTTGACACCCTACAAGACTTCCTCCAAAGATACGGTAAGTTCCTATCTGGCTTTGTGGGTATCTTTGATAGTATATCATGCAAACGCACAACAACAACAATGTAGACCATCGAATAACTTACAATGTGATATGTATTCTTATATTAGAATCTATTGGATATGGCACAAGCAAATAATATGCGGTACATTGGATCCACGTCATCTGTTTCCTCCATACTGTCACAATTCTATTTCTTGATCTCTCACTTCAAACCTGTGAACACCTCCATCTTTTCCGAAACGCTCAAATCCATGGCACGTGCATCATTATCATCATTATCAAACAAATAGTGTAGAGGGGGGCAAGGGGAGTGGCGATGAATTGCGTTTACTCCTTTTGTTTTGTGACAAAAAATATAAGGCTGACCTTATGATCTTTGACAGCCCAACAAGTTTACTAGAGGCACAAGAACACCTGCATCGGTCAATGTCCGATGGAAAGATGGCGTATATGCCATTGATGCAGACAAGACATATGATATTGAAGAAACAGTTTTATCAGTGATGGTATGAGAGAGAAAGAAGATGCTCGTCTCGGAAGCCCCTTACTCACTCTCCTCATATTACAAATCTATAATTCATGAAGGGCAAATCTATGGAAAAGATGCTAACGCTGGAACCTGCTGAATATGAACGGTATCTCAAAGATACGGAGGCGTCACCGATAACCGAGGTTGAACGCAGCCAACCCGAAACATATGCATATGGCAAGGTAATCACAAGAGTATAACTATGAGCGGGTGTATTTCTTGTTCTAAATCACAAACACTGGAATACTAGATTGGGCAGTTCCTTTTGCGTTCACAGTTGGATTGTCAAGATCCCCGATTACCTCGGAAAACGTTTGATTTAAAAACTCGTGCGACCGTTCCGATACGCTTGGATATAAGCAATTATAAGGTAGGTTATAAGCGAAAACTTTAGCAATTCTAAGCGGAAATGTGATGCGCGTGTTGTCGCGTGGGCCTCACACACAGCGCACATACACTCACATACACATTACCTGCAGCATTATTTACCAACACGTTATTGTTTTACACAGGATTATTTGGGTTATTCGTTACGACGATCTCACGGTCTATATGAATCGTTTGAGCGAGAATATTTTGACATGTTGCGGTCGGCGTTTCTCAAGTACAGTTTCCAAGTCCGTATTGGCCATATGGACGGTATTCTAGTCGCTTATCACAACACGTGGAAACTGTTTGGATTCCAGTACATCTCTCGGGAAGAGATGGATGCTCGACTATTCGGTAATAGTCGTATGGGCAGTGAATCGTTCCACAACGTACTGCTACTGTTTCACGCAGTGTTGGATAAAGCAACAAAGAGATATCCAAACAAGGTAAAGCAAAAATAAGGGAAAGATACATTACGCAGAAGGATTCATGAAAAAGGGCTTACATATATAGTCCGTACGGATAACGGTTAGTTCGGGTGCCTCGCACATGGATATATTTGTGGAGCAACTGCCTGATGATGATGACAAAGACTACGGGGCCGACGCGAAGAACGAAATCAACAGTAATACCAGTAGCTCACCATCGACGACGACGACGACGACACAAGAAGAAACTTCAACACAGACAGCGGAAAAAGAAGATCAAGAAGTAGAAGAGCATCACATTGAGGACGACGATGACAAAGGAAGCGAATTTTTTGAGACGAAAAACAGAATTGATATCGACAGTGAAGTTTACAAAAACCCAATGACGCACTACACACTCGCCACACGATCGTTTATAAACGACATATTTGTCGAAAAAGGAGATCCAATAGTGCTGGGGAAGAAGACGGATGTCTGGAAACTCCAATACAATATAAACGAGGTGCGTATGAAGGAACAAGAGTCGAGAAACATTTTTAGAGCGATGCGGTTGCAACAAGCTGTGCTGCATCGAAGACAAGGACAGACCAATCAATCGTTTATCAATCTCATGAAAGATATAAGCAACCGCGGTTTGGAATATGAAAATATGGAAAAATCCGGTAACAAATGATGGTGATAATTTAATAAACAGTTACAAATTGATTAAAAAACTTTATAGAGGGAGAGAGATTGGAATGGTTCTGTTTTGTGGATTTATTTGTAAATACATTAAGTTTCATCACTCCATGTATACTTGTTATAATAGAAAAAAGGCGGGTTATTACGTTTCAGTACAGAAAGAAGAGAAAGAAGAATATGCTGCAATATTTGTTTTTATGTGGCATTCAAAAAAAATGGAAAGGGGGGATAAACTCTTTTGACTCTAGGGAATCTTATGATTATACACAGTTTGCAAACAAAGAAGTAAACACACAGCATAGCAAAGCAACGTCAACAAAAAACACACGCATGCAAACGTGATGCCATTCATTGGTTATAATTTGTTGCTGTTACATTCCCGCTGATGGATAGGCTGGTGTGCCATCCGACACTTGTTGCTGCAATAGACTTGGGCTTTGCAGCGTGCACACACGGGCATAGCACGTTTCTCGACTCCACAATGGCTGCAGCTGGAAGATGTAGAAGATGCATAGCTGCTACTTGTTGCACAGCTGCTCACAGACATCGACCGGGTTGTCAACATCATAGACTTGTTGTTGCCTGAAGATGGTGGAGGGATACCAGTGGTAGTATTTGTAGCAGCTTCAGCGGCAGCGGCAGCAGAGTGTTGGATTTCGATGACCGTTTCCTGAACGTCAAATGGTAGACAACACGGTTCAGGGACATCATTGACACATTTCTTGAAATACTTTGGATGTTGATGATGATGATGGCTGGCGCGAAAGTAATAGATCAAGATCCGAATAGCTCTCCCATAGCAAATGGATTGCGTATGTTCTTGTTCTTCTTCTTGTTGCTTCTTGAGCCGTTTGGCCAGACACCATAATAATGCGTCATCGTCGTCAACTTGCTGTCTCGTCAAAACCTCATCAAAGAGGGAACGGTCGCAATGAATCTTGACATACTCTGGTTGTGCCAGTATAGACCGGATACCGCCTTCTTGATGTTGCTGGGATGATGATGATGATAATAATGATATTGATGGCTTGTTCTTGCTCTTATTACTAGTAGGAGCGATAGTAGTAGGAGATGAAAAGAAGCTCGAAAGTTTAGCTAGTGGCGAATTTGATGATCGGTGATTGTTCCAGAAGAGTACAGATGGCATTTTGGTAGTAGTAGTAGTAAGTCTGTTATGTAGGTATACAGGTAGATAGATAGGATCGAATATAGCAGAGGAGAGAGGGGAGAGTGAAAAAAGGCTATTGATGGCGTTTTAGAAAAAAACCGCGAAAACAGAGGGTGCTTATATATATGTGAGTGGATACGAACAATTGCTGTACCGTCGTGTCTGGGCTGAAAAGCTTTTGAGTTATAAACGACATACAAGCAAATTTAAAGAGCATATCATTGGTCTCAGGTGACCCCATGTGTTGTTGTTGGATTCCGGCAATGGGTTAGTTTATTATCCTCTCATAGAAATATAAACAAAATAATTCATCTGAATCGTCTTTTTTTTATTGTAACAGCTTCCGTCTTGGTTCCAAACAGAACAAGGCAAGCTTTCTGTCATTGACCTGTTTTGCGTATTCGCCGGAGCAATCAACAGGTACGGCTTGGCGTAGTGCAAATGATCGTCTCCTGTCGTCGTCGCATTATAATAGCTGTTATTCGTCACTCTTTTGTTTTTAGCTAACCCCTTATTTTACCCCACTCCAAAACTGCTTCTTTCTCTATCGATCTCTCTTATTACTGCTTGTTTTATAGTAGGGTTTGTTCTCAGACACATTGTCGGCTGCATCCCGACAATGCTCCCGAGCCAAAATAACAATAATGCATAAACAATAATCTATGTACTGTCAGTGAAGTAATATAAATGATTGTTATTTTTTCTTTGCGCCACTTCTCCCTCATTATTCGATACGTGAAACGTCGCAGAAGCTGCTGTCGTGTCGCACCTTTCTTTTAATAACTGGAGTTTTCTTTAGATTGTTTGACACTTTTACGAATGGAAACGAATATCATGTTGTTGACACAGGGGAGGAGCAAAAACAACAACAGTGGAATCTTATAGTTCTCTCTCTTTCTGTCAAGTTGTTATCTTGGAATGACATCACAAAGCGCACTGCTTCCCCCTCCTTTGCAAGATACATGGAAGAAGATAGATAAACAAGGTGCTTCTTAGTAGCAGTTTTATAGCGGATATGTATTAAAATAGAAAAAAGAAGAAGTAAATAAGGAGAAGCATCGAAATGCTCCCTTGTCCTTTTCATGCTTTGCTCTTTGACAGTTGAGTAATATAAAAGAACGACAGACAGTTAGGTAGTCAATGCTCATGTACATTTGTACGCATATACGTTTAACAAGAAGACGAACGAAATGTAGGAGAAATAAGTGGTTTTCTCATTGGGGCTACATCTGATGACTTATCTTCTACTCTCCCCTTAAAAGAAGAGTAAAAAATGGCTATGTAGTGTATGGGTGCTACAGTTTTTCAGTGGTGCAACAGATGTGCAGCAACGTACAATACAAGAAAGAGCAATAACAGTAGAGTCCATGTGCTCGTATATGGTTAGGTAGAGTGTGTAGCATATACCGTTTTTCTGAAGCAACAGAACAAAGAAGAATGCCATTCCAAATTGTTTCTATTTTGGCCAAAAGACCTGAGAAGCTTTATTGGGTGGCTGCTGCTTCCTGTTGCCGCCCGTCGGTAAAAAGCTATCGTCGTCGTCTTTTGTTGCCCAAGCCCCTTTCCTCTCACCCCCCGTCATCGTCTCCAATTTTTTGTACTCCTGCTGCAGCAATGTCAGGAGAGCAAAACCAATGCTACATGCAGGTTTAGGCCGATAATCTCTCTTCCTCTCTCGCTCTTTGTGTGTATTAGTCAAACTCTGATTCATAGGGTAGCAATGGTAACCATATCTCCCTCCACAATTTATGCATACAGTAGATAGCCAGGCTGATGAGGGTGGGGGCGTGTGGCATAATAGCTGAGATATACAGTGTACAAGTCCTTCATGTACAAGGAATTTTGTACTACGCTCAGTCTTGTCATCATTGATGTGATACGGATAATGCACCGTATTTCATGTATCTTGACGAGTGCTACGGCTTTTTTTAACCTCTCTTGCCCGCCTCTTTTTTTCGTTTCTGCTCTATACACGCGCCGGTATCCCCCTTCACTACTTTAACAACGCACATTGGGTCACCTACATAAAACACCCGTACATATCATCATATTTAAAATTTAGGAGTGCGTGTGTATGTGTGGGGAGCCTGCCTTGTAAGAAGTTTAAGCCAAGAGACAGTTCTCCTCCACAAATGTTGCTTCTTGTTCTACAATAATTCACCCCTCGCCAACTACTAATCGGCAACAAAAAGAAAGAGATCTTGCCATGGTGGAATGGGAAGATTCACATGCATCTCATCGCTCGACGACGCAATCTGTCGGAGGCAAATTCAAAGCTCTATTTAGCGACGACGAAGACGACTACGACGACGGCTGCGGCATTATTAACAACCATCATCACCGCCAACATCAGACAACAAGCACAGCATGGAACAACAATCGTAATCGACATGAACTACATCATCCCCACCATTACTATAGTCCAATCATGCCGTCACTGGCATCCATGCCACATATCTCCTCTGGATTTGTCGATCCGTTATTAACATCCACAGCCTATCATATTCATCAGGCCGAGTCTGCCTTATCGTCGCTAAAACAAATCATATGGGAACAACAACAAGCCGCGACAGATGAGTGTTCTTCCTCTTGCATACCAGTAGCAGGAGCTTCGGATACAGGGTGGAAAAAAACATTGAAGCATAAAAAGAGCGGCGTCGTGGTCCATATGAAGAACAGTGGCGGCGGTAGTAGTGGCATTCACCACAAGGCGGACAAGACGCCCATTTTTAAAGGTGAAGCCGTGATTCATGGATTCTCACCACAGTCTGTATTCTACGTGATTGGCATGCGCAAGTTATGGGACGAGCAGTAAGGGTTGTTTCGACTATGTACTACGACGACTGAGAGAGGGGGTTGCGCGCTATTTGATGATAAGGATGAATGATCCGTTGACTGTCCGCTTTATTACAAAGGTACGACGATGGTAATCTGGTGGAAAATTTAAACGAGACAACGTCTTTGACATATGAAGTGTCCAAACCAAATCCATCATCCAGGTAATGTTTTATAAATGCTGTTTGTTGTGTACAACCGTAGTACAAACATGATGCACACACCACATGGCTTGCTTAAACTTAAGTACAGCTGGCACGTAAAAACTTGCTATGATACGGATTATACTTACTGATTCTAGCTGTACTACCAATGCCACCGGACAATTTTTCTTTTAAAAAACAATAGCCTTTGTGCGAATAGCATCAATCGACCACGCGACATGGCACTGGTGGAAAAAATCGAGTGTACTCAGGATGGCGCTATTTTCTTTGCATGCACCAGTGTTGAAACACCCCGTGTGCCACGCATTCAAGGGCGAGTCAGAGCGCAGATCAAAGTACATACCATCCATCTTTTACAAGAAGCAATGTCCTAACTCGCGATACATACTATAGCTACAAGGCTGGGTACTGCAACCCATTTCGGGAGGACCGACGCCAGCCACGCGTGTGATCTATGTCATCCAAGAAAACATGAAAGGCTGGGTACCTGGGTTTGCGAAAAAGTCGTTGGCACGTCGACCCCTAGCTATTGCTTTGGTCAACGAGTATCTGCAAAAGAAATCAGAAAGGATGCGCGCGCAAAAGATGCGCTGTGCTGCTGCTGCAGCAGCTACTGTAGCAACTACAACAACGATGATGTCCTCCTCATCTTCCTCCTCAGCTACTTCATCCCCGTTTGCTTCAGTCAGTAATAATGAAAGCATTGGCCGAAGTCGATTTCGATCAACACGACGGAGGCCTTCGCTCTTGGCAAATTCGACTATCTCAGCACGGAGTAACCAGTTGCGTATATATATTTACTGTTTTATTTACTTTGTGACAAAGAGAGAGCGAGAGAGGGAGAAAGGTCATGCCATTGTATTATATATAAGAATGAATAATAACCCCACCTTTTTTTCTTGTTGTCGTTGGTAAATTTATGCTGCCCTAGCAGCAGTAGTGTGGAACGGTACCCTAATACCTCAGCAGTAATAGTGCAACCCAAATCCACGCCCTCATCATCATTATCTTCCTCACAGCGGTCTAGCAGCAATACCAGCAACGGAACACCACTATTGAAAAAGCGGATTACCTTTACAGAGAAAGGCAAAGCCTTTTCTCCATCATTACCTTTGTTTGAAGCAGCCATTGAACAAAGTAGTACAACAGGCTCATTCGTGAGCGTCACAGGTGTTAAAAACCAGCAGCAACAAGTAGAGTCATCACCAGCAGCCGCTATTGTACCACGACCCCATCCTTTATACCCTACGCATCGCCATCTTCCAAAAAAAGTAGAAACTATGAATTTATTTAAACGGATTTCTGCTTCTTTGGATTCATGGACGCTTATTGAAGAAGAAACGAATGATGATCTGCGTATATACAGCTACAGTAGTCCGACGACAGCAACAACGGCGTCTCGATTACCGCTCCTACGAGCAGACGGGTCAGTGGTTGGCAAGTGGAGCGCTGAGCAGCTGTGCTCTGCAGTTCAATGTTTCGGCGCACGTAAAGAATGTATGTGTTCTTTTACCTGCTATTTGTAAGCATACACAGCTGGAAAATTAATATCGACGATCTATATAGGGGATCAAAACTTTGTGGATGGACACATTATTGATCGCTTCAGTCAAAAGGATTACCTTGTCTATTGGTGTATGAACAACAACCAAGATAACAAAAACGGTTCTAAGCTCGAGTCCAACAGCTCGACAACAGCCATCACCAGTATTGAAACAGATCCGGTGTCAGGGGTTATCACTACGATTACTACAAGTGTGCATGACAGTATCACTCAGCAACAACCGACAGTAGCTGCAGCTGCAGCTGCAACTGATAAAGTTGACGGCGAAAAACTCGATAATTGCATGATGGTGGATGGTGATGCCAACACACAGACAGCAAAATTACAAGTGGACTTATATGGATGGATATTTCGGCCTGGGGAACAAGAAGGAGTTGTGCATATAACGTGGATTGGCAATCTTCCAGCAGCAGCAGCAGCAGCAGCAGCAGCAACGGGAGCAACATTCAGTCACTACTACTGCATCCCAAGATTAGCAAACTACATGAACCAGCACGGATGCCCGCCCTATATCCGCCGAGTTGCCGGTAAAGTGACGTATGAAGATTTCGATAACGACACGGGTGTCTATCGTGTTGCCTATATCGCCAAGGTCCAGCAAAAACAACATGATAATGACCAACAGCAACAGTCATCACCACAAAAGAAGATCATAAAGAAAAAGAGTAGCCGGCTATTGTTATTATGGTGTACAGATATTCGAATTCACCCGTCAAGGTATCCAGCCGGCATCCAGGTCACATTGACGCCACCCATTGGGACCAGGGCAGAACTGTCGTCGTCCAAAGCGAGTATACGGGTGTATACTACTTCACAGGAGATGGATGGCAAACAAGTTGTGATTGATATTGCTCCTTCTCCTTCACCGACAATTACCAGCGATGATGGTGGTGGTGTTGCTACTACTACAGCTGGACAAGAACAAGTGTTTACTTGTAATGGTCAGCCATTGGTGCCAAGGTTAACAATTTCTGCTAATATTGCTTCTCCTATTGCTGCGAATGCATTAACTACTCAGCCACAAGCAGCAGCAGCGGCAGTAGCATCAACTCAGCAACAGCAACAGTACATAACGCCAATAACGTCGCCTGTCACGGACCAAGAACCGGTGGCAGCAGCAGAAGCAGTAAGGGCGGAAGATGATGATACCAAAGATCCTCCTAGCACTCCTCCAATGGTCACTCCGCCACAAAGCGCAGGCGTGCAAGATTCGAGCCAAGACGACACCCTACAGAGCAATACACCACCGCAGAAAGAAAAGCTGCTACAGGATAGTGTAGCCTTACAGCAGAAGCAACAGCAGACACGGGTGGAATCCGCTGTACATGTTATGGAGTGTACGTCAAAAGCAAAAAGTGAACAAAGAATTCCTGAACAACAACAAGGTTTATATATACATCAACCCGAAAAACAAGCGCGACAGCAACAACAATCACATAACAGCCAACACCGCAAACCTGCTCAGTTATCATCATCATCATCAACAACAGCACGACCATCCACTCCGTCGTATTCGGCAACATACAACACCACCACTACTACTGCTCACAACAACAGTAATATATACCCTTCGAGAAACACTCGACAGCTGAATGTAGTACCCGAAGGCTACAAGTTAATCCCTCAACAACAGGTAAGTACACACAGACTAACACCGAGAAATATCGGTTGATGATTTTGGGGCGTTGTGAAATTAATACCTTTTTATTTTGCGTTTCTTTCTTTCTAGAATAATAATATAATCATTATCTCGGACGAGCTTACATTCAATGGTCAGCAGCTGGCCGTGGTGTTCTTGGCTATGGTATTATCCTATTACATGGGCAAACTAGCATGCGCAACCACTTACTGCTAAAAAGGAAGATTTTTGCTACTTTTAAATAATAATTGTATATTTTTTTTGGATACAGAAAAGTGTTTTGTGCGTTTGTGGGTGTATATGTGTGCTTTGAAATATTAGTATATCTTATTAGTTTAGATGAGAGATACGAACGGAGTGAGAGTGTAAATACACGGTATAATGATGATGGAAGAGAGAGATAGTGTGTATATGTGTGATGATGTTTTTGAAAGAATCAAATTTTATGTATGATGTACCATCGTATATCTGGTGTCGATAGTAGACAGTAATGTGGATATGTGTCAAGCTAAGATGAAGAAGAAGAAGAGTGAGGAGGACACTCACATAATGAAGAAGGAAATGAAGAAGAAGAAGGCAAGATCCACAATGCTAAACGGTATCGCCAATCCAACCATAGTACGATCAATTCAACAGCCATATCATCCAACACCAAAGCAATATTTTCTACGTATCGCCGAGCATATTGAGTCCCTTCTTCCATTGCAGCATGACATCCTTCCATCCAGTCCTGCCACAAGTACACTCCTTTATCCATCAAACTCGTAAGAGTGGTATCCGTTAACCAATTGGTGGGTAGTTGTATGTATCCAACGTCATAGCAGTAATAGCAAGCCAGTATTGTCATGGCAACGGTAGCAGCCAGCAACTTAGCAATGGATACCTTGCTGCTTTTTTGTTGTTGTTGTTGTTGTTGTTCTGCTCGAGATGCTGATAGCGGTGCTGACGATAACACTGTTGTTGTTGAAAATGGAGACTCTACATGGTGTGGTGATAATGACGATACCGAAGGTGATTGTGATATAATCATCTAGGGTCCCATATATACATGTAAGTCAATAACTTTTTTTGACAGCGATGTGATTAGCAAAAAAAAAAAAGTAGTAAATGCTACCTCTTTTTCTATCTTCTCCTCCTCAATATCATCAGCAACAATCGAATCCTTATCCAAGCTCAGAATACCGTCCGTTTCCATAATCATTTGCAATAATTCCTGACTCGTTATTTCCGAAACATCGTGCTCATGTTTTATAAGCTCATGTTGGTGCTGCTCCGTAGTTGTTGTTGTAGGTTCAATGTGTGCTTCTGGACGTTGCGACCCAAAAGAGAGCACATGCGCATTCGATGTTTTTTGATCGTCATTGTTGTTGTTGGCTTCAGGATTTCTGGGACGACGCTACAAAGTTTTGAATTTAGTTGTTCAATTGAAGAATGAAGGAGGAATTAAGATCATATTCAAACAATTGCGTTTTTATATTTACAAACCTTGAATATTTTTGACCTTGGATATCCTTGTTCGTCCATGGCTATTACAAATCACTGAAATGACGCGAGACCTAAAAAAGGGCAGCAGCAACTAAAGAAAGCGCGCGTGTTGCTTCAACTGTTTTTCCCTAGTCGTGACGGTTACACAATGCGCCACTGGGTTTAAGGTCGGCATGAACAGGCCCAACTACTACTAATCGCACAGTCCAATGATTTATTCGTGTGACTTAGGATCAAGAAATTTATGGCGTATGGACTCATACATAGAGTAGTTGCACTATCGTAATTGCTTTTATAGTCTAGATTAAGTACTGCTCTAAAGCTCCTAGAGACCAATATAATATCTCGGATCATTGCTATTGCCAAACTGTAGTAATATGTGTTAGTGATCGAGTATAGATCGATAACTTTCTTTAAGAACAGATATGGTCATCCCGTATGATCCGCTCAGAGACTACTACATGAACATGGGCAAATGGTCGATATTGCATTTTTTTCTCGCAATAACACCCAAATTCGGTCGGTGTGATGTGACACAGAAAAAATCTGATCCGCTGGTCTTTACCTATCACAGCAAAGAAGTCGATTGCTTGTGGGAGCGAATATACGTACAGCGTCATTTTACGCTTCATTTAATCGGCAAAAGAATGAAATGAGACGACTGATGTTGTAAGCGATCAGTCTCTTTCCTACTGTTTCTCTAAACCTCTTATAGATGCGCCAAGGCGATCTTGTAGCAGAACTAATGCCCTCGTTACGTGTACCACTACTACCATTGCCGCTATCAGCATATGGTAGAGTAGTAACGAACACGTATTTTAAAAAAAAAGTAAGTGTTTTATGCAAGCATGTGATGGATCATGCTCACCGGGCTATATAATAGTCCACAAGCAAGTGAGAAGGAAGTTAAATCGGCTCTTTACTTTTCTCTTCTTCATCCGATCCTCTCGCCCCTTCTCTAGTTTCACTAATTGGACCCTTATTGCTTTGCCGTCTCTAATAATGATCGCTCATGCAAATGACAGCAAAACAGAAATCCAGGAGCAGCAGCAACAGGAGGAGAAGCTGCCCTATACTACTAGCGAAAGCCTTAAAGCATTACCGGAGAGTAAGAGGTTTATCGAGCCAACGCCTGAAGAGATACGTCTATTGGTGCGGAAACAGGATCGTGTCTTGATGCCCTTGATGATGTTGATATATTTGTTTTTTGATTTGGGTGGAATTACACTTGGTAAGCTAAAAGTGTTAGTCATATTGTATACTACTCCAATATATACTGATTAGCAACAACGTCATTGCACCTTATATTTGAATTTTCATGGACATAAATTGGAACAAGGCAATTCCAAGCTAGCAGGATTGATGGAGGATATTGACATTACTGAGGATCAATTCAACTGGGCAGCATCGGTGTTTTCGTTTGGTTTTGTAAGTGATATACGCCACACGGCTATCTGTAGTATAGATAATACACAAAAGAGCACATTTTAGTAGAGTATGACTGTCGCCATCTCGCATACCATGGGTAGTGGATATTGACGATCCAAAAACATTCATGAATATTTATAGATTCTCTGTGAGGTTCCGGCAAATATTATTCTTCAACGAATCGGGGCGCGCAGATGGCTTGCACTGACTATGTTCCTTACATCCATTATATTGGCCAGTATTTCTGCCGTACACAATGGTCAGGGATTGATCGCGGGTCGATTCTTTTTGGGTTGTGCTCAGGCAGGCGTATTTCCGTAAGAGTGTAACATCGTCACATAAAGCTCTGGGGATGTTTGGCCGTTGTGTAGTACAAGACTTGAAAAGATGTGATTATTAATACATATCATGCATCTCTCTGTCTGTGTGTATCTTTGGGATCTTTGATCTCTTTTTTTTTTCTCGTACTTCTAGTGGCCTCGTGTACTACGTCTCTTTGTGGTACACAAGAAAAGAGCAAGGTGCTCGAATGGCATGGTTTCTGGTGATGGGATCGGTTGGATCGGTACGTTATCATTTCCGAGTGATTGTCATTGCAGCTGCTGCTAGCTTTTTTAACAGTCGAGCTTAACAGAAACATATGTATATTTCTATGAAATAGGCTATTGGAGGCATAATCGTAAGCTATAGTATACACACACACACACAAAAAGAAGACTTCTGATGATGTGCAGGATCCAATGATATTAATACAAAGTGAAACTCGGGGAACAACGGACTTGTACAAAAAAATTAGGCTTATGGTATTATGCACATGGATTATACTCGCGGTCTTCGAGCATGGAGATGGATTTTTATTCTTATTGCCTGTCCAACATTTTTGGCTGGATGTATTGTATTCTCATTCCTTCCAGATACACCTGAGAAGCAAAAACGCTGTAAGTTCTGCGCGCTCTTTCTCCTTTTATCTCTGATAGAAATGAATGCATTCTGCCAAATATCTATTCTCTTTTCTAACGCTACCTATCAACAATAACGTATTGTTAGTTTTGTCTCCACGCGAACAAGCAATTGCGGTGTATAGACTCAATGCAGAGAAAGGCGCAGCAACAGAGGAAAAATTCTCATGGGAACGGTTTAGAGCAGTATTTACTGACTGGAAAACATATGCCTTCGCCTCAATCCAAATCACCTGCATGGTGCCTATCGTCAGCCTTGGCGTCTTTATGCCGAGCATTGTTAGAGGAATGGGATTTAGCAATCTAACAGGTGAGGCCTTTATTGCTCTAGTTTGCTTTTACTTGCCAATACAGTGACCGAACTCGGTTTATATTATAGCACAAGGAATGAGTGCGCCACCATGGGTTGCAGGTACACTTTTACATCTTTTAAGGACAGTTCTCGTAAGAGAATTGCACTTTTTTAACGAGCAGCATGGATGCTCCAATTTTCCACCCAACATGTAGCTGCTATCGGTATGGTGTTGGTGTCCTGGTATTCAGATCGATTGGGTGAACGCGGCCTGCACGTCTTTTTTTCATGCATGTTAGCTGTCGTTGGGTACCTTCTGCTTATTGTCTTGGTAGATCATGGGTGGGTAGCACTGTACGTGAGTGCCATCATAGCAACTTTTGGTGTCTTTGCATCCAACCCACCGCGTGTCGCATGGAACGCCAACAATTTTGGGGATCCTACAAAAAAGGGTATTGCCATTGCGTTTACGTCGTCTTGTGCAAGTATCGGTAGTGTTATTGGAGGTCAGGTGTATCGCGGCGATGACGCTCCACTTTATAAGCGTGGTCATGCCATTGCGTTAGCATTTATAGGTTTAAGTGGACTTTTATCCTTGTTGCTAAAATATCTGCTGCGACGTGAAAACAAGAGACGTGAAACCTTGTCAGTGGAGCAGTACGAAAAGGAGTCCCATAAAATCGGCGATGATGTAAGTTTTCTCCAGTGGGTGGTTCATATTTTCAAAACGCTAGCTAATGCCATTTACCGTTTCTTTTCATGAAAAACAGCATCCCGATTATCGCTTCATCCATTAATAAGTTAATTCACTCAAACTGTAATTTTATAATTTTGTTATCAGTACCGCGTTGTAAATGTATTCTACTATTGAAGCTCATTGCTGCTTCTATTACCTATCACTGCTGGTAAAACATAAGAGTCACCGCCGATGCTTCTTGCTCTGCTATTTATTTCTCTCAAAGATTTTTGACAGAATATACATAAGAAAAAGCTGCGAATAGTACATTCCTTATTACAGTGTAATCTGGTATGATCACATTTAGCGTTGTAGTTGCTGAATTTAAGAACATATACTCGAGAAATATTCAGTAACCTGGTTATTCTAGCCTATGCATAAGAAAAAGATTACGTACTATCATCAATCGTAAAAACTAACAGGGTAAAGCATGACGGTCTCATGGCATCATAATACACTCCATACAGGCTCTCAGCAATCATTATATATATTTGTTTCCAACAAAGCAACGAAGATTATATACCGTATACGTAATCTCCAGGGTACTGTAGGTCTGATGATATTACGATTCCTTTCTTTTGCGCGATATCATTATGCAAAAAAATCATTTACTTGAAAAAACAATTATTCTTCAGTATTTATCTTCTTTCTGACTAAAAGAGTCAATATCGACTACCGTATGTCATGCCGAGTCTAACTTGCTATGATTATTTATGGTGACGACGACGCGGTGGAGACCGATTGACACCTGTGATTTAATACCATTCTTATTTTTTGAGATAAGCCAATATAATACAGCAGGTATATAAAGATGCTAACAGTTAAAAAAGCTCTGTGCAAAGTCCTACATAGCTTATGTGTCTCGCGATCATAATCTCGACAACAACAACAACGACAGCAATACTATCATTTGCCACATACGTCCACGTTGTATGTTTTAGATTCACAACCAGTTACTGACGTAGGTCAATATTAGTACCACTACAGCTACTAACTAAAGCTTACAGTAGGGAAGGGAGAGGCGAAACAGAGAAAAAGAAAAGGTAAGTTTAGCCATCACCATTGTTACTATGTAGCTTCAGTAAAAGAGGACTTTATCCTTCTGTCATCATTACAGCCCGGTAAATCATGCTGCATATTGTAATTAGCGATCACGAGACTTACATTATGCACGTATATTTTGACCCCGCAATATTTGATATCGAAAGACAAGGAGTATGAGGAGGATGATACAACTGTACACGAGTAGGCTACAGACCACCCATCAAAACAGCAGTCTTGTGTAGAGATGTTCATTCTTTGCTTCTTTCTATGACTACTATTACAAGGTGAAGAAAGGAACTTTTGGTGTAACGGTACTTGTTTATGGGCTTCATATGTCAATTAAATTGTACTCTGTAGACATCTTTTTGCCACACGACCACGATCACGACCACGTACAAACCATTTCGATTTGCTGAAAAAAAAAACGCCATATCCGGCTATCAAAAATATTGAACAAGATGGCGAATTTAATTCGTTGTTTAGAGAATAGAAAATAAAACGCAAATAATGCTGTCTTTTTTCTTTTTCATGCAAAAAAAAAAAAAAAAAAAAAAACAGTTGGAACTGCCATTGCACGTGGATATATCCAAAGCTGTTTACTTCCGTGATATGCTCTTGTTCTTCCATGTGAAAAAAGAAAGTTGGTCCAACAAAGTCTTTTTTTTTTTTTTTTAGTTCCCACTGTCTTCTGGCATTCTTTTATGCAATGATTTAGAGTACTACATAAGGTCCGTGACAAGAGGCTGCTGCTAACCGACAATAGTATATGTACAAATAAGGCTAAACATTTTTTGTTTCTTTTCTACTATCGTATGTACGTCTAAGGTGTTGAATTTTTAAAAGATAAGAAAAACTCGGCATATGTTTCATCTGAGTGTTCATAACGAGGTTTCTTTATACTCTGTTGGGTGTTAGTGGTGTGTTCATCGTCTCTATCTCACCTGTGGTGCTTAAGGGCAAATACGAAAACGGGCCCGTGTTACCCAAGCGATAGAAAAAGAGTGAGGTTGTGGCCATGTGGCTCCGGGCCTTCCTCCTTTTTGTGCTCTCGTTTCCTGCCGTTGTACTAGTACTCCTCCACAAAAATTACTTGTTTTGGCTTGTCAACTTTAATTAAAGATAAACAACCAGCAAAATGAAAAAGAAAAAGTCTGTCGAGATTTTACTCTATGGTGTTCTATATAACCCCATACCTGTCGGTTGCTTGGTTGTCTGGGTACCACTTGCTATCACCACCACCAGTATACATTTTGGCATCCCAATCCCCGACTATACTACTACTACTATCACCACCACCGCTTGGACCACACCATCCCCACAACCCTCTCATAAGCGGAACAGTATAAAAGCTTTGTTTAAGCAGGATTCTTCTTTTCTCTTCTTACCTTGAAAACCCCCACTTCTTTCTTCCCTATTTTGCGTGCTATACAGTCATGGTATGCCACCAACCAGCAGAAGAAACAATTACGTGTGCCAACAATTATGATGGAATGATGATGATCGGTGGTGGATGTCTTGGTACTACTACTACTACTACTACTACTACTACCTTAACTGACCAAAACAATGGCGAACAATCATCGCGTCAGCAGCTCCTGCGAGAAGAGCAAAAGAATTGGAACTGCCACGGTCGATGTCTAATCTGCGGATCTATCAATCATCAAACAATTGTAAGCTCGTCATGTTTGTTGCTATATATAAGACGAGGACGGGGTTACTGTCAAAATCGCTTATACGATATTCTTTCATTCTTAGCACTGTCCGGTATCACCGTGATCAATAAAAAACAATACAGGAGCATGCTACTGTATTGCTTTGCCATTATCACCGGCCGTTGTTGTTGACAAAACATAAATAGCACATTAAAGGGTCCAGATCATCTTTTATTTCTCACCCCAACAAACATGCCCTTGGACTATTCTACTATAGCGCCGTTTATTATTTTGCTCTTTCGCTTTTGTCTTGCATGTGAAAACCCTTCCTCCCTCTCTTTCTTTCTCTCGCTGTTTTATTATATACCCAGTTATTCAGTGCCTCCAATGCCGCTAGTACTCATTTTATATTCTGTGCTTCGGATCGTTGATGCTGTTGATGTGTTGATGGTCATGGTCATGGATAGCCACAGCACGCACGTATCCGGCCATACCATCAATTCTTATCATGCTATTCTTACTCTTTCTCTTACCATTAAACATATTAGCATACCACACTTTGCATATTACTATAGAAGGATCGCTTGATCTTGTGCTGGGGACACGTCTTGTTACATAATTTAATAGTTAAATTTCGTTTTATTCTCAAGATCAGCAATTACGGGAGTTCCGAAAAAAGCTGGACTGGACCAAGGGGAGAATTGCGAAGAACAATAAAAGGATAGGTAATAAAGTTTTTTAAAAAGGCCTGATGATCCGTCAAGGGTTCCGGGTGCTGCACTATAGAAGAAGAAGAACAGCAAGATTAATCGTCCCCCTTTTCTCCACTACTGAGGACCAACATACTAGCATTCTATGCGGGTTTCTCTTCGTATCACTATACTTAATCCTCATACTCAGAAAAAAGTTGTCAAGGGCTTGTCTCATTTGCGACCTCTCTCTCTTGCGCTGTGTGTGTATCTCTTCCCTGCTTATTTTTATAATGGCGTTGGAGAATATTAGTTTTGCGTGATGTTATTAATCTACAAGGTGACCGACTGGCACTTACAGATGACTGCTTGGTATGGTTTTGCTGATTGTTATGGCGAATGCCGGCCAAAAAAAAGGAAGAGTAAGCAGCCGCTGGTGTTTGTATATATTTGAATGAGGCCTTTCGAGGTTCCCTCTCTCCGTGCATATACTTTAGAAGAAAGAGCACTTGCACAAGAGTTGAGAGTCGTTGATTACAGCCCTTGAGCCAGCTAGGTCGAACGATATAAGCTGTCCGTAAAGCTCGTCAATCAGTGGAAGGAGTATGCTCTTTGCCTCTGTTGCTGCGGCATCATTATTATCCGTGTTGTACTGATGGATGACTAAATAGTGCTTATTTCCGCTGTTCGTCGTCGTCTACCTTGTTCTTGCGCTGTTGTTAATGTCGATTATGTCTCTCGAGCGATGATTTCGCCAAACACAGACTCTGCCGTAGTCCCAGTGCGATCAATATCTTGGTTTCTTGGTTGAGGGCTAGCGATACAAGCCCTGGATAATGTCGGTGGGCCATTCCTGCCAAAATGAAAACCCTTCGTTGGAGGTGGATATAATTCAAAGCCAAGTGCTGTGATTTGGGTGCCGATCGCATAGAATAATTCTGGCTTAAATTCGTTGAATTCTTCAGGGTCGCTATCAAGGCAAAGTGATAAATCTGATAGTGCTTCTGGTTAAACGTCGATTAAATCCGGTATCCAAGAGTCTCGTTGATCATAGTCGCCGTCCTCAAAATCTCCAAAGCTCAGACACCCTTTATAATGCAGCTTGAGATGAGGTTCGGACAGGGCCACAGTATGGTATCCGGCCGAACATCGATTCTCAAACACCGTCATTTCATACCAAAAAAGAAATTAAAAATAAGAGGTACAGCTAGTACTTTATGCCATTATCTACTTACCGATCTTCAAGTGAGAAGGCAGAAGAGTTGAGAAACTTCAGCCTGCGTGACCCATATCATGCAGGCAAACGGTCCATTATGCAGCGCTCAACAACGGACAAGGACAATGATTATATATTCAACTTCAAGTGCGCTCCTTCTTCGACTGCTGCTGCTATCATAAATGACTTGATATGCAATGCACAACAACTGTTAAACCTAGAAAATAGAAAAGAGCCAGTATCATTTAGTAGTGCATATAACAAGCAAACGATCAAGAAGAAAGGATGTATAGCCATCATTTTGTGACACAGACATGTGCATCCCCGTCATTTAAAAGGATGATGCCATACTTCTGGACACGAACAGATGTAGTCAGCATTGAGTACATAATCTCCATGGAAAAGGAAGCCTCCTTCGGGAAGTTGTAGTAGTAGAAAAAGAAGGGCTCTATTCCGATTCGTTTTCTGTTCTCCTAAAAAAGGGATATCAATAGATCTGGGTAGTGCTACTGCTACACGTTGCTCTTTGTTGTGCTGCAGTAGTGTAAGCAACCGATGAGAAATGCCCAAAAATGGTATTTTTACCGTTAGTAAACAGTATATAGCTCTTATTGTGTGTCTCTAATTGCAAATGTCTATCTAAAAAGATTATTAGCTACACATGTGCTCTCACGATAAGAGGAAAGATGATGGGTATGCAGATTTAAGCAATATTACTGAATAAACACTAGATGTAGGGTATGATGCTGATAATACGATGGACTAATTAAAACAATAGACTTTGTAGCTTATCATATCAGTGACGTTAGAATAAAGATGAGCTTTCATTTCAAGGGTTGTCGTTGTTATGTGGAAGATCTGGAGCGCTTGTAGTGCTAACAACATAAGCTTCATTGAAACACAAGCAAAGAATGTTCCTTATATGGTAACATGTCTAAATTAAAATCGCAATAGGATCATCCGATCATATGAAACATAAGTTTTCCCCCCTCCCCCTCCTTCCCCTCCCCGTGTTTTGCTGTCATCATCTTTACTACGAATTACTAATACTATCGTGTATACACAGCAGCAGTGACAATCTCAAGTCATATAGACATATGAAAACAAAAGAAACACGTCCCGAACTCTAAAAGGCTCTATTGTTTGGAAAAGAATAGGGGAAATTGAGTGTGCGGTGCTAGAAATCAAGATATGCGCGGGAGGATGGGAGGGGTTCGCCGGTTTTTAAGAGGAATAGAGAAAAGAGTAATGGGATGATGGGGATTCAGGTACACTGAGATTTGCACAGCATCATCTTTTTCATTTGCAAGAGACGTTTTAGACAAAGAAGCTCACACACACATACATACATACACGCGTGCATCCTACGCATGAATGGCACGCCATATCGAAGATCGACAAAGTAAATAGAGAGACATGGAACAATAGTCCTGTATGTCCGTGTTCCTTCCCCCCACCTCCCACCTCTCCCCTCTCCATTCCCCCTCCAACCCACATACACTTGCCATACTCATTCACATATAGACTGTATAGACATAGCCAAGATGTGTGCAAGGGAAGAGTATATATGCCTCCATTGTGTTTCGGCTCCCCAAGAACTGAGTTTTCTGGATATGGTCTAGTCTTCTTTTGCCCGGTGTTAATGAGCAGTACGTATCTGAGCTGGGCTGGCTGGATGGGATTCGAGTGTGGAGATTGTGGTGGTACCTGCATGGCGATATTGGATTGTGCTTCGGTTGTACAACTTTTCTGGAGTGCAAACGACGACGACGACGACGACCTCCTTTTTTTTTGTGTGTTTCCCTCCTTTTCGCTCGCCTTTTCTTTTATAATAGTAGTAGTAGTAGTCGCCGCATTAGTAGCAGCAGTAGCAGTTGTGGTTATACTAGTACTGATAGTCCTGCAATTCGGCTCTTTGGTATTTCGCTGTCCCTGCCCTGCTCTTTCTCCCCTCGTGCGCGCCTTTTTTCCTTTGACCTCCTCGTTAAGACTTGGAACTTGTACATGCCATTTACCTAATATTCTCTGTGTGTCTTACACTGCGGGACCGAAAAAAAAAGACAAATAACTTTTCCCTTTTCCCAACGTTTCTTGCTTCCTTTTTCCTTTTCTCTTCTCTTTTCTTTACCACCGACCTTTATAAATTTGCACTGTCATCCACTTGTTCAATCTCTCTGTTCTTTGTGTAATTTATTAATACTTATTACTACTACTATTACTGTTATTACTACTATTTATCTACTATCTATCTGTTATCTAATACGCACTACCACCGAAAGAATAAAATATAATAATGTCCAGAGGTATGTAAACATTGTCACGTACCTTGAATAATTTCAAATTTCTCAAGCTTTTCGTGTTCTTTCTTTGCACTCGACGACAACAACAACAACAACAACAACACACTTTGTGACGAACCCTATTACTATAGAAGTGCGCTATGTTTGTCATCGGGCTGCCAACGCCATAATCACCCAAGTCGATCCTTTACGCGTGTCGACCGATGCATTACAAGTCATCAACCAATTCCTCGACGAATTTGTCAGCCTCCTCGTGTCATCCGCCCAATCGCTCGACCTGTCTCGTATCAAAACAGCCGTCCTCCAACTCATTGCCTCTGCCGTCGGTAAAAACGCCATTGTCGAAGCAGAACTACAGGTCAAATCATACAGTGAATCAGCATCCATTGACGCAACCGACTATGAAGCATATGAACGGACAAGAACTTTGGCAGATCCAGCAACATTACTAGGTCCAATCATTGATCGTTTACGGCACGAATGTGTCGACTATTGTAACCTGGCAGAAAAGAATCACCAAAATCCGAAAAATAGTAGACGGCGGCCTAGTCTGGCAACAACCGTATCCTCGACCACAACAGCTTCTGGTACTGCTGCAGCCAAGGACAATCTCGTAATCTCGCCAATAGTTACAGTCTATGTTACTGCGATTATTGAGCACGTGGCAGAATATATCCTGACGGTTAGTTAGTTTATTAAGAAAACCTTAAATATTCGGTATTGTATGGGCTAACCTTTTATCATTACTTTTTTTTATTTATGTGCATATTGCATTATGTATGTACCTATATACGCACGTACGCATACATATGCGCCTCTCGTTTTGTATCTATGCTGTGATGTGGATCACATCTATATAACCCCACCAACAACAACAACGACAACAGGCTATCGCAGTAACGGCAGAACACCAGGATACAGAATACATTCGTGTCAAGGAAATATATTTGACGCTCTCGGACGATGTACAAGTGGGTAACATGTTTTCAAAGATGGCATTACGAGAGCGATTGGAGGTAAATATTACGTTCCTTGTGTGACATTTGCATTATTAATTTTGGTGTCTGAAAAATTCCTTGTGCTGCTTGCTTGCTGCTCTTTGTGTAATCATCATCACTCACTTTTTGCTTTGGTGTGGTGCATTTTTTTTAATTACAGAAACGCGCCTCAGCACTTAATTATCGATCGTCACAGCAGCAGCAACAACAACAACAGTACCCACATCATCATTATCAGCAGCACGAAAACGTATTGCCATCGCCAGCCCCTAGTCCTGTTACATCCTCAAGGAAACAATCCAATGTTCATATTCGCGATTCCAGTAAGTACCAAAGATCGTTGTACAGCATATCAGATCTTCCGCCATCGATTTTTTTTTTTTTGGCTCCATCAATTGCGGCTTCTCTCTGACTGTCTCGCTCCGTGTTTTAAACGCCATTTTTTCATTCCGTATAAAAACGTTAAACCTTTTCTCTTAGGTACGGATCCATACATGAATATTGGATTTGCTGATGATGAAGAACTGGATTATAGCCAACCCAGTAGTCCTTTACCCAACGGCAAGATCCCATCCATGTATTCAATGACAACACCACCACAACAACAGCATCAGCAACACGCACGACCCATGTCCATCATGAGCACCAGTACAAGCACCAACACCATTAGCTCAACGACCTCATCGAGCAGCAAAAAAGGATTTCGTTTTTTCAAAAAGCGAGACTCTGTTGCAACTACCGAGAGTTATAATGGACCTCAGTCGCCGGTACGACAAACCCACCAGCGTAACTCAATATCACAACAGCAACAGCAACGGCAATCAAAAACACCCGTTTCGGTTTCGGTCTATCACTCTGATTCACCAGCCATCAATTTTGAAGATCTAATACGATCAGGCGATACAGTCAGATTATCATTAACACCCAGCAGACTAAAGTCGATAGAAATCATGAAGGATCATAGTGCGATTGAGAAGAGTGCATCATCATCATCATCAGTACGATCTGCAGATTCGGATTCGTTTATTGCTGCGAAACAACTGCCACGGCCTCCATCAAAGCAACAACAACAACAACAGCCACCGTTGCCCTCATCACCACCATCCTCATCACCTCCGCCAATACAATCTGCAAGTCTTGATCACACTACTACCACCGCAAGACGTGCAGCTACATCGAGTCAACCACTCACACAAACACCACGCCACTCGAATCAATCCTTGCATAAAAACCCATCACTTGACGAACCTGTCACACCATTCGAAAACCCTCGATCCGCACCAAAACCTCCTGCTCTGAAAAGCATTGTTGCTCCCGGCAACAGTAACAACAACAGAACCTCATTCAATGTTGAATCGGATCATCCTATACCATCACCCCGACAACAACGGCAACAGCCACGGAAACCGTTCAAGGAAAATCCCACCATGGAACGGCCCTCCAGTATGGTTGCGAAACGTGCGTCCATGATCAATACAAGACCGACATCATACCATGAAAACTTTGCACTCCAGTATGCTACTACTGAAGGCACGACACCGGATGGAATCCTTGTCGTTGCAGCACCACCGCATCATTTGCAAACATCAACGTCATCCTCATCCTTATCCTCATCCTCCTCCTCGAATGGAGCTGTACGAGAAAAAGTGCTAAAGTTCGAACGAGCCGACCAACATGGAGCAGCAACACAAACACCCAAGGCCGTGTATCTTGATGCAGGCGTACAGACGGAACCAGAACTGCCACGCTTGGTGGTGACAGCAGAAGAGGACGGTGTTAGCGAACGAGGGATCGTTGTGGGTGATGAGGAATGGTTTGTCCCAGATGAGGATTGGGAGGAGGACGAACATGAACAAGAACATACAATCGTTGAATGGTTATTAGGAGAGTAATTGTGTGTCCAACAATAAAAAAGAAACAATTTGATTATTTTTATACTACATAGCAGCAACAGCCTTAGCCTTACTTCTTTATAGCACGATAATATGTGTACTTTGGGGAAGAGGGGGGTTTCATTTATTGGGTCAGTTCCTTAAACTTGGTGATCAAGATATCCGTATCCTTGTCATTTTCTACCAATGCTTGCACACTTGACTTGAGAGAATCCCAAAAAGCTGGATCTTCCAATTTCTTTTCCGTTGCCACCGTCAATCCAAATTTGGTATCCGTTGTTGTCTCTGCTTGTTTAGATGGTGCAGCAGCAGCAGCAGCAGCAGCCATCAACATCAAATTGAGCGTTGCCTTGTCCGTCAATCCATAATCACCCAACGTCTTGTTGTTATCACTCAGCACTTTGCCTTTCAATAACAATCGTTGTCGGCTTATCGTCACCTCCGATTTCTGCTTGTGTATACGTTCCTTGAGATCTTCAATAGTGTCGTTTAAAGAAATGCCACTAATCGTCAACTGTGATGCTGGCTTGAGAATCTTGATGGTCAGGTTAATCGTTTGCTCGTTAGAAGCATCTAAAGGAAAACCCGCGCCCAACCCCTTGGAATATTAGTATTTGCCCTTGGTTAACCCCAACTACTTTAAACTTATTCTCTCTGTCTCTGTGTCTCTCCCCACCCACCTCACACCTTCCCTCCTCGTACTCCCTCTTTTCTCTCTCCCGCCTTTCATCGCCTGGTCTCCTCACTTCTCCCCCCTCTTTCATATTCATACCAGTTGTGGTAGGCTGAGATGGCGTTAAAGGTGATCTCTGTATCATGCACACCACGGAAAAACATGAAAAAAATAGTTGGGGTTAGAGAAATAGTGACAATATAAAAAAAAAGAAAGGCAGCTCATTGCAAAGGATGCTCTTGGTGTTCGTTTTGAAATGGATTGTCTGTTATCGCAATCGGGTAGAGAGTGGATAGTTCTTACCTTAATCTTTAAAGGTTTAGGGAGCTGTCGCGAGGTATAATCTTGGCCGAATCGCACCGAGCGGGAAGAAAGTTCATTGAGATATTGATTGATGAAATTGCTTTCGTCAGGTACGACCAACATGCTGTTTTCGTAGTGTTCGTGTTTTTGTGTTTTGTAGCAGGGAAAAGAAGAGAGCACTCTCAGCATACATGTTCTCTCTCTCTAATCAAACTCAGTCTCACATGCGAGAGAGAACGTCGATATTTGGGTGATTAAAGCAGATAGCCGTCAGAGTCGTAACACGCACAAAACCTTTGATACACTTAAACATCATCCACGCTTGATACACACACACACACACACACGCGTCCGCACCAACCTAATAACGTTTCTTATGAGCACTTCCTGACATGCTTGTCACTGTTATTTTCTTTTAAGCTTTGCACTGGCCAAACTGGTTTAATCATGCATTAATGTCAATCACAGCCTTTATTTTTTTTTTGGTCAAAGAACACTACTAAGCACTACCACTTGAAAATACAGCTTTTTTTTTTGTATGAATTGGGATTGTTGAAAATACAGCTAGTACACTGCCATTTTAGATATAATCTACAATGGGTCGTGCCATACTGATGTCCTGAATCGTGCTTGACTTTATCCATGCCTGACAACGTTGTTGTTGATGATCCGGTGGTGCTAATAAACATTCGACCAACAGCGTTTCCTTTACGGCCAAATCAGGCAAAAAATAAATCGACAGCGGGATCGCAGACTTTCTATTTGCTGCAATCGTCTGCACCGCATTCTTCAAGGCTTTCATTGTGATGGCTTGCAGATACATCAAGTTGGGTTTGAATCCTATAAAGGTCAAGTCCTCCAGGTACGGAAGCTCTACACTAAGGTCGGCAATCATCGTTTCACGCAAGAGTTTTGGCATTTGCGCAAAGGTAATATGGCAAAGAGACTTTGCTTGAGATAACGCGGCAGTAATACCGTCAGCAGTGATGAATTCGCATGCAACAAACCGGATCGTAGACAAGCAATTGTGGTTGCAGGTAGTCAGTGTATGAAGATCTGCGTCGTTTAGATACTCGCCAGAAAAACACGCTTCAGTGATCATTGTCATGCTGCGCTGAACAACATGGTTGAATGTAATTTCTGTTCTTCTTTCGTTGTTGTTGTTGTTGACTGCATTATTGATGCCGTTGCGGTTGTTGTTCCTGTGGCGACGGAAACGCTGACCATCAAAAGCAGCGTGGAATCTCGCGTTATCGGCAGGCAATCTCAGATGTATACAGTGCAATGGGGGTTGTCTATTTCCTAATGCATAGAGCGCTTCCATTGACATATACACGTTGTTGATAACGATCCGGTCAAGTATCGGGCAGTTTCCACCAAGCGTTGTCACATGGGTTTCTGTTATGGCTTGATCAAGCCCATGTTTACGCCATCGATTATGGATTTGCAGTTCTCGAAGACACGGGAATGAAATGCGTACCAATGCATCGATGCCGTCGTTGCTGCTCAGAACTTGCAGCTCAAGAACCAAGACTGTTAATGTGCTGCTGTGCGACGTGAGCATGCCATGTATGAGAGAACGGCCATCGCTATTGTCGTCTTTACTGTCAGCCCGTAAGCGTACAAAGAGTTCAATAAGGCCGTCTTTTTCTTCTTCTTGTTGCTGCTGTTGTTTTCGTCGTCGTCCTCGTCGTCCTCGTCGTTGTTCCTCTTCGCTTAAGGGTGCCTCCCATCCATCCCCGTATCGAAAGGTTTTCAACTTTGGACAGTTCTTCCAGAGGATGTGTGCCAATTTCAAGTAGTCCGCGGGCAGATCAATTGGATCCTTGATAGCGACATGCTCTAACTTTGGTAATTGTTCCCAAAAGGTCGGTGTGAGAAAGTAATAAATCTCTATCCCAACCAGCTCCAATCGCTTCAGATTGTATTGCCCCATGATGGGTTGACACTGTGGCAAATGGGGTCCTAATTCGCTTCTGTGAATCTCCTCTGCCCTGTGAGCCGGATTGTCGGCCCTAGTAATGACGTGCAGCCTCAGATTCTGTGCATGCGCGAGGATCTTGTTCCTGCCGTATGCGATCTTTGTCATCCAAGAGTCATCGCTGTCGCCAATCTTTTTGCCAGAAAATGTTTGCCGTGGCATGGCATCGTCAAGCTCCTTGTCTTGTTCTTCTATGATGTTGTCTGGCAATAGGGTATGGTGTGCTGCTGCTATCAGATGCTCTAGATTTAAGTTTCTCTGCAGCACATCCCTGATAGCTTGGGTATCCCGGATGCCGCATAAAGTAACCTTTCGCAGGCTGTCTCGGTTTTGCATCAGCAGCATGTTGAATGATTGCTTGATGTAGGGTCCGACGCCATCCATACCGGCCAAGACTTCTACAAAAATAGAAACATTTCAATCAGAAAAGTGGTTCGTTCTTGCATATTGACGGCTTGGAGAAATTATTACTAACCAAGTGTCTCGATACGATCTTTCCATTGCTCATTCACCAGAGCCATTAGAATATTTCGCAGCGATTTGGGCGCGATAGCAGAACTGATTGAGATCTTGTACATGCGTCGCCGCCTCGATTGCTCTGTGTCACCCGTTGGAGCGACAGCAGTAGCGAGTGCCGCGTCGACATCGCTGTTCAAAAGAGTTGTCAACAGTCGGTTCATCGATTGCTTTGGCATGCTGCTAAGGATAACTTTAGGGCTGGCTCGCGGCAATACGTCCAAAATGATGCTTTCCCACGCACGGCATGTGAACGAGCACTGTAAGCGGTCTTTATACGTGAGGCCTTTGATGAATATGCGGCTCAGTAGCTCCATCGGGAGCTTCCACACCATTGTATTCTCGTGTTCTATCTCTTGTTCCAATGCATTTTTCGCTTGGACAAGGTCAAGATGCTCTGGAAATGGCTGTTTACCGTTGACGTTGTTGCTGTTGTTGTTGTCAGACGACGATGATGCTAGTGATAGTGCACTGACTCCTTTGTTGTAGATTCGCAGGGCCACGTCGCGTCGATCGATCGTTTGCAAAAGTTGTCCAGCGAGAAGATACCCTTCAGCGAGTTCCGGAGCCAGTTTCATCACTCTGTAGAGAGCAGTAATTGCATTTTCAAATGACTCTTGCGTGGCAAGCACTTTTGCTTTTTGTAGCAAAGCGATTGCTAGTACATTTTGTTCAATTTCGCCAATGACAGCATCTAGAGTGTTAATGGCGGTCTTACAATGGTTCGCGTCCAATGCGTTTTTGGAACGATGCCAAAGTTCTTTAACGCGTTGTAGTTTAAGCTCGCTACTTTTTGAGCTTTTGGATAATAGGATTGTCATTAAAGGTTAATGAGAGAGAAAGAGAGATGTTGGACCTCTCTTTTTAAAAATTAACTGGCATACTTTTTATGCAGGAACTGAAAGTTGTCAGTGGCGCCCAATTCGAAATCCTCCCCCACTTTAGCACCCCACTCACAACAAGCTGCATGTGGAATCTGCTTAAAGAAGGACCTCTTATGCAAGGTTGTTTTCCGTAGGCATGCTTACTGCATAGCTCGGAACGGAATCGTGAGATTTCCGAAGAAATATTATTTGACACGGAATAAATCATCGTCAAGAAAGAAGATTGCGCCGACCGAAGGATAATTATGCGTGGAATCTGAATGTGGTAAATTAAAGAACTGACCATCTGCCTAGATAGAGCAACATGGATATACAACTTTGTAGTGCTTTGCTGCTTATTGTACATTAAACATGAACCACTCCTACCTGACATAGTGACAAAAGCTCATCCTAAAACTTTCTGTTAGGCATTTTGGAACAGCAGTATTGGATTGACAGATGAATGTATGCTTATGCACTGCTAAAAGCATGCTGTACTCTGGGGACCTTTGCTGAAACGAAACCTGTTTCTAGCCAGTAATACCTACTTGCTCTACTTGTGTTCACATTGTTGTAGTAAGGAACTGCCTGTAATGACGGCTCGGCATAGTTGCTGGATCCGCGGCAATTGTCTTTGACAGATAAGAAATCCGGGCATCTTCTCTGGGCTACTGTTCCATGTACTACGCTCGAAAGAGACCATGCAAAGAGAGAACCCTATGGATAGTGTATAGGTGTATCGGACGCTATTCAAAATGACATTCGTACTTTGTATCATGCCCAGCCTTGGTGCGAAGATGAACCAAAATGTGCTGAGCAATCAAAAGTAAAAGGATTTTCCGCTGACAAACATTGCGGGGTAAGCTGGGAAAAACTGGGGCCAGTCGATCCAACACTCTGAGTAATGTATTGCGGCCATTGTGTGCGCGTGTCCTAACACACTGCCTTTTGCATGTGTAACGATCCAAACATCAGTGTAGTACGACACACATATACCTCATGTTCTTTTTTTGCATATGTGCGTGTACATCAGAAGTGCGGTGTGACAATGTCAGCTATAGACGCAAGGCTTTCCCTTTGTGTTATTATTGTGAACAAAGAAAGAGGCGTGTAACCTGACCCCCTCAATAAGGGTTGGCATTGAAAGGCCAAAAAAAGCTTACATACTAGCTACCGAGTCGAGTTCCTCTTGTACGACTCGATCTTCTTTCCCGGAAAACCCAAATTGTGTGCTCCCTGTCTTGACGACACGCATTACATTTCCCCGAGTATGAAATTGCTTAGTCAATATCAACTGCGTAGGACAAACTCCCCCTCCACCTACACACTCACAGAGAGACCAGCAAGGATTAGATGTGGAGAGTTATAGGACACTTGCACACGCGTTTTTTCTTCCTGTGAATGTTACCATTCTGCAAAAGAATTAATCCTCTTTTGTCTTTCCTTCTCGTTGACTAAACTAGGACCATGAGAGAGAGAGAGAGAGAGAGAGAGTGAACACAAGAAAGTTCCCTAAAAGCGTAATAACGATGATATCAGATCGTGATCGGATCCCGTTGAAGTATAGGTTTTGGGACACTATTTGTATGGTGGGAAAACCGGTATTGTTGGTCCCTATCATTTTCAACGATCGGTTATATTTAAGGAAGGAGGCAAGACAGACACTTGCTTTTTCTTTTTTGCCAAGTACGACTAGCCGTAATACCGTCTTTCTTTTACTTTCTCTTTCTCTTCTTTTTGTCACCACTTAATTCGTGTCTCCATGGCAATTCACGAACTCAGTGGCTATGTGACGCAAAACACCCTGGAATGCCACACACTTCAACAATTCTGCGGGAACGCCAAACAAGCGTTTGCAACAAAACGTTACGACGTCGCCATTAGCCAGCTGACAGCCGCGATCGACGAGATCAATCGCAACTTGCTGGCGAATATCCTACTCAAACGTGCAGTGGTGCAAGGTGTGCAAGGGACGCCCGGCGCTGGTTTGGTAGATGCATACAAAGTCATTGAGCTTCTGCCTGATCAGCCCGAAGGTTACTTGTGCTCGGCGTCGCTATTACGATCCATGGGCGAGAACAGCTCTGCCATGCGCGTGTATACGGTCGCTCTCAACCGGCTTAACTCCGAGAACCGGGAACAAGAACAAGGTTATAGCTGGCTTGTTCGCGCTAAATGCAACCTCGAGAACGAAATTGATTCAGCCAATACACGATTGCTAAGAAAATTACCACTCGAGCTTTTGGGCAACATTTTTGCTAGTAATGAACTGTTGTCGGTCCGTGACCGACTCGAGTGCACACGCACGTGTCGTGCCTGGCGAAGTTTCCTGTTGGACGAGATCCCTCGCATGTGGCGCGAGGTCAGTCTGGTTGATATGCCCCAAGACGTTATGCTTCGACAGTTGTCTAGCGTTCGGAGTACTCAAATACGCAAGGTGCGAATCCAGTTCAAGAGTAGAAACAAGATTGCATTGACCGAGTGCGTGATACGGTTCTTGATTGAGCATGGGTATAACCGGTTGGAAACGCTTGGTAGATATGATTCCGATCTTTCAACCCGCATAGCATTAAGAACTTTTGTATTGAATGCCTTCTCTCTAGAAATTTGCTCTGAACTACGCGAAAATGATACGCGGGCATTTGGCGTTCTACGACAACTGTTTCTGCAAAATCAACATACTTTGAGGAACGTGGTTGTGCATTGCAAATCGTTCCGCGTGGGCATCGTTGCCTTGGATTCCTGTCCGAGACTTGTAAAGCTCGTATCATGCACGCCATACCTAGGCTATCCATCATCATTTACATCCGAAGCCCTGTTGACGCCATCATCCTCCGGTAACGAAGTATTCCAGCTCCATTTCCGACGACACATGGCCTTGATGCGCGCTCGGCAAGAAGAAATACGCATGAGCGTACCAGCACCCGCCAACAATGACAATGCATTCACACTTGCCATGTCCTTTTTGAAAGGCTCAGAACTGTACAAGGCCATCAACCAAAATGCCGAACTAAAACCACACCATTCGCTGACAAAACTCGAACTGTCCGGATTGCAGCTCAGTTACTTTGATGAACCGTTCTGGCGCAGGCTTCCGCATTTGGACACCTTGGTTATCCAGGAACCAGTCGACATGCCGGGCGATTTCGAAACTCTCGTTAAGGTGCTGGATCAATGCTGTCCCAAACTCAAAACATTTCGATTTGGCGGCATATGCGAAGATCCGTTGCTTACAACCACTGTCGAAGAAAAGAAAGAAAGCGGTCTTGTTGAGGTGACCATGCGTGGCTGGTCCAGCGCACAGTCAGAAATCAACATGATTTCCACTTTGGTTCGTAAAAGCCGTGACACGCTCAAGATGCTACGGCTCCCCATGGAAGTACTGGCTGCTTCTGGAAGCAATGTGCTTACAGACCTGCAAGTTCCCAGACTACGCTATTTGAGCATATACGGTGATCCGTGGCGAGCACTCGACGCAACCCGTTCCGCTTCTCTCGTCCGCAACTGCCCAGAAATCGAAAACCTCATCATCAAGCTACCTGTTGAAGAAACTGCTCTTGTCGAGCTGAGCAAGGCAAAGCGATTGCGCTCTTTCTGTCTCGTAGATCCAGCACAACCTGTCAGCAACGGCGGCACTGGACTGACGGATGCTGACGTTGAAGCGTTATGGATCGCTACAAATCGAAACCAGCGCACCAGTTTCCGTCGGTTCTTTGAAAACTGCAACCTGCTCACTGACATTTGTTTCTGTGGACCGCTGCTAAGCGACGCCGACTTGATCGCCTTGGCGACCAACACACCACACCTGGAATCGTTAAAACTACTGTTCTGCTCCTCCACGTCCATCACAACCCGTGGTATCATGACATTTGCTGATTCCGCGCCTAAAGGTCTTCGGGATCTTGCACTGATGGATCTCAAGTGTTTGGACGATGACTCGTTGATTCGCCTATTATGTGAGCTACCTTCCTTGGAGAAAATGGTTCTGGCCTTGTGTCCACCGTGGATGAACAATCGACGCCATATCAGCAACTGTATCGAGCAAGCGATGGGTGTTCGCAACTGTACAGCTGGACAGCGCCTTCAAATAACCTTTGCACCTGCTCCAGGATCCCAAATTCTGTTGGATTGTGTGCCAGGGAAAGCCATCGCTGAGAAGTCACTGGAAGGTATTCCTTCTGTTTTCAAAGTTCTACTCAACATCTATTAGTACTTTTACCCATATTACGCTGTATATATTTACTACTTTCCAGAACAAAATGTACATTCTTTTCATAAATATAATCCTTCTCACACCATGTGTTTACTAACTATTGACTGACACATTATTTGTTTTTGTTTTTCTGTGGGCCTTGTTATACTATTCATCATTTATTTTTACAGTCGTTTATGAAGACGAAAATCAGGCACAGCCTTTTATTTTGGAGCGCGCCGCACCGTTGAGGTATAATTAGGCACACTTGAATCAGTCCATTCTCGCTTTCTAGTTCTCCAACACACACTACCCAGTACTCACGCACACAGCAATACTCGCTCCGTCTCTTTTCGACCTGAACCCGAGTGACCCGGAACTCCATTGCTTCTCCCACTCCATGGGCCAATGCTAAGGGTACTAACAATGGTGCTGCAGAGTTTTGCTTTGCTCGCGTATATTTGACAAAATACTTGTAATATTACCGCTTTTTGCGCCCCAGAAAGGCAAAGCAACTGTGAAAATGGTCAATAATTGCCGCGATATTCTGCATGTCAATAATTCTACCGTGGATGCGGCAGATGGCACCATCAATGTGTGGAATATGTTCTTTTGCACCGAATACAGTGCTAGTTTAATCGACGTAAGAGGAGCGTGAGGACGTGCGATGGCGCTATAGTTGTGGCCAAACTACGTAGTACGGATCCCCGCAATCTCGATCTTTCAAACGTTATCTCGAATGGTGATCCGCGACTCTTCCAGTAACAGTGATGCTTACGCGCAATCCCCACGGTCGCCTCTCTGATCTTTGTCACCGTCATTCTTGCAGTATGGCCCTACATAATTTAATCAGGAGCAGCAGTAAGCGGCCAATGATGATGATGATCCTTAGAACGAGACGACGACCAATGCGTATCTGTATATGATCACAAGACTGCCGCTTTCTGTAGATATATACACTTACTCGTAGTCATGGTAGCGTTTATTCAGTGTTATTGTATGTATTTTAACTGACTTTTGTTGACTTTACTAGAATGTAATTTTTCTGTCGATAAGCATGGTGTGACACATGTAGAGTTCGTGGATTTACTGTAATGATGATGATATTAATTCAATTTCAGGGAATGAGTCATCAGCCATATCTACAATAAGAGCTAATAGCAACATACATTGAGAATAACGGCCTTCGTATACTTTCTATCAGTATAAATGCTTTGTCTTTTTATGTTTTTAAGCAGAATAACACAAAACACGCGTCACTACCTGCTTGCTGATTGCGCACTGTGTACATATGATAATCACCAGTGTATAGAATATATTATAGGAGCGGATTTAAATGATAGATACATCGATACAAAAAAGTAAAGCCATGTCTGTCCTTTAGACTAAAATCATTGCTGTCAAAATTCGACTTGATGCGTTGCTTAGCCAAGTATGATATACTGACGCCATTTATGCAACGACGACGGCGATCATGGCAACCTGCCACGCGAGCGAGGAATGTTAATCGGAATGTCTCGGCCCGATGAACGGAGTTGAATTCGGTAAATTTTGAACAATATTTTTTGTTGTCGCCAGCCTTCCTCATTAACCGTTTTTTAAAGAGAGAGGGGGGTGGAACCAAAAGAGGTGGAGAACCAAACAAAAAAGAAGACGAAAAGGGAAACAGATACAGAAGAAAATACAATGACATTACTGCGCCCATTCATTCGCCATGCACGCCAAATCCACACTTGTCACCGACGATTAGCACAAAAACCAGCTGCTGTAAGCGTAGCAGCAGCTGCAGCGGCTGCACTGACCCATGGACCTCTTGGCAAGGGTATCGACACGTTCCGGAGCACGTTCGGCAGCAAACCATTGACGGCACCTTTCACGGGACAAGCAGAGACCTACGAGCAAGCGTTAAACGAAGCACAGGGCCTTGTTGTAGACGAAAGCGCCGGTGATAGCGACGGTAAACAGCGAATGCTGTTCGACCCAGCAAAACTCGTCGGACCTGACCTATGGGAGCTCAAGGGTAACATTAGCAAACTGCTCGGCAGTGGCCATCCCTTCTTGAATACCATGATGACGCACTTTTTGTGCGATGACGGCCAGCCAGTTCGACCCTTGTTGGTCTTGCTGACCGCGCAAGCCAGTACGGGCCAAGTGATCGATACGCAACGCCGACTTGCCGAAATCACACACATGATCCACGCCGCTTCGTTATTGCACGACGATGTTCTCGAAACCGAAAGCGGTGGTAGCCTGGGCAACAAGATGGCTATCCTGGCAGGCGACTTTTTGCTAGCCCGTGCATCGCTCGCACTCGCATATTTGCGCAACGCTGAATGCGTCGAACTGATGGCTACGTGCATTGCCCATTTGGTAGAGGGCGAGTTTATGGATCTGGTTAAGAAGCAGCCAAGGACGGATATCGATTACTATCTGGATCAGACGGAAATGAAGACAGTCAGCTTGATTGCGCAGAGCTGTAAAGGTTCGGCCGTGCTTGGCAATGCATCAACAGATGATGCCAAACACGCCTATGAGTTCGGTCGTCACTTTGGTATCGCATACCAGGTAAAGTTATCATATTAAACATGAAGGTCGCTTTCGGATCTTGATCAGTAGTGAGTGAGCGTTGGATGAATGTTCTGGCGTAACACTAAGCATAAACACACATACGCACACACTGCAGTTAGTGGAGGATGTGCTAGATTTTAGTGCAAAGTCATCGTCGGGTACATTTAGAGCAGGTGCCCCTGTTGTGTTTGCATCTGAATCCGTACCGGGGCTGCTGCCCATGATCGAACGTCGCTTTAGTCAGCCGGAAGACCATGAGAAGGTGGGTGGGCAAAGGATGCGGATTCAGAGATAGAGGAGGAGGAGATATTAGATGTGTTCATCAGCATTAACCGGGGGAGGGGTGATTCACACACACGATTATGTAGGCTCGACTGTACGTATATCAAAGTGGAGGATTAAAAAAGACCCTTGCACTTGCAGAATCACATTGCCAAAGGGCAATCGATGCCATCAGCCAACTCCCGCCGTCCGACGCTCGATCGGCACTGGTGCAACTTTCCTCCAACCTGATACGCCGTAAAAATTAATAAAACCAAACTATTTATCTCAACGTTGCACCAACATTGAAAATTCCAGGGTTGTGTGTGTGCATGCTTGCTTGCTGGGACCATCAGTCCAAAGCATATGACATAGATGATCTGATAACGATGTCCTTGTCCTTGTCGTCGTCGTCGTTGTCGTCGTCGTCGTCGTCGTTGTGGATGTGGCCTGCAGGCACCCTGCAAATACGCGTGCTTGTGCAACCTGATTGGCCAATGAACCAAAAAATTTTCCAAGCGGTTCACAATTTATTACGTCCAAAGTTGTCAAGGCTACCCTTGTTCTTTTTCTTTCCCTGCATTTCACCGTTGCAATATAAAAAGGAGCACCCTATCTATACTTCTCGCCGCCTTCCTAACTAAACCTCAGATCTCCCCAGCTCTAATCTCGGCGTGTCTTTGACCTTTATTTTCCAAAGCACACGCACATACCTCTCCCACCTTCCACACTCTCTTTTTCAAACGGACTTGTTTAATTGAGTCCGTTGCTACGCCCATCACGACTTCAGAAACCAAACTAGTCGCAAGCTTATTCAATCGGCGGGGCTTTCCTCCTTGGCTGTTGCTTTGAAGCTATATAACACATCCCTAGTTACTCTCATTGCATCTTGTAAAACACTATTATATCTTTTGTTAAACTACCTCTCTATCTTTACTACCCCACTACCTCCTCTCCTTCTCTCAAAAGAACAAGAACACCACCCTATATCAACGTTTGCTATCATGCGCACTGAACTACAGACACTTTTGGTCCACCAACAACCCTGCGAAACCATGCCTTTGTCGTTGAAACAGCAACAACACCAGCAGCAACAGCTTAATGCCGATCTGCCTGTTATCCACAACTTGCCCGTGCACGACGTCATTCAACAGAAGGTTGATTCGATTTCTGCTTTGAAATGGGAATCGGATCAAGAAGACGCGTTTTTTGTCGCCGATATTGGTGAAGTCTACAGACAACACCTGCGTTGGAAGTCCCAGTTGCCGCGCATCGAACCCTTTTTTGGTAAGATCGTGTTACCCAAAACAAAATCGACTGCTTTTAAGTTGCTAAATCAGTTTCTCCAAAAAATATTATATTAGCCATCAAGTCCAATCCAGACCCAATGGTGGTAAAGCTGCTGGCAGCTATTGGTCTGGGTTTTGACTGTGCATCCAAGTCTGAAATCCAACAAGTTCTCGCTGAAGGTGTCGAACCTGAACGCATCATCTACGCCAACCCATGCAAACAAGCATCATTCATCCGCTATGCCGCTCAACAGAATGTTGCCAAGATGACCTTTGACAATGCCGAAGAACTCCACAAGATCAAGCTGCTCTACCCCAATGCCGAGGTCGTCTTGCGTATCTTGACGGATGATTCTGCGTCTTTGTGCCAACTTGGTTTAAAGTTCGGTGCACCCATGGAAAGCGTCCCCTCGTTGTTGCAGACCGCCAAGGATCTCGACCTGAACGTTGTCGGTGTCAGCTTCCATGTGGGCTCGGGATGCCAAGATGAATATGCATTTGAAGATGCCGTATTGCGTGCTCGCAAGGCATTCGACATTGCCGAATCAATGGGGTTTTCCCTGAGCCTTTTGGACGTTGGAGGTGGTTTCCCTGGTGCCGATGTCAAGGACGGTATCACTTTTGAAAAGGTGGCAGCTATCTTGGGTCCTACTGTGGATGCTCATTTCCCACCTCATGTGCGCGTATGTATATTATCGACATGTCCTAATCACTCGGCTAGCTATAAGGCTTTCTAAATTGACAACGCTTTTTTCTTGTCCTACAGGTGATCGCAGAGCCTGGTCGCTACTTTGTAGCTTCGGCATTCACGATCTGCACTCATGTGATTGGCCGTCGTACTGTCAAGGCTGAAAACGAAACCCAATACATGTGTAAGCTACAAATACAGCTATCTGAGTAATGGATGTGAACGGCCGCTAACGAAAGTGGCGTGTTTAATACAGACTATGTCAATGACGGCATGTACGGTTCATTTAATTGTATCCTGTTCGACCATCAAGAGGTTTATCCTCGTGTCTGGTCTCGTGGCGGCAAGAAATATGCTGCTACACTCAAGGCAACAGAAGAAGAGGAAGAAACATTCACCAGCAGCATCTGGGGTCCTACATGCGATTCGATTGATTGCCTTGCCACGGAAGCCAAATTACCCGTTCTGGAGGATGGCGACTGGATCTACTGGGAGAACATGGGCGCCTACACCAATTGTGCAGCCTCCAAGTTCAATGGCTTCAAGCGATCCGATATCACTTATACTAATACTTTTGAATAACTCACATGGCTATGAGAAGTCAAAGCTTTATGGAATTCATAAGCTTCCAGTAAAAGCTAATAAATTAGAAAAAGCTGTTTTGGTTTACAAGCTATAATTATATTACATTTCTACCTGCTCTGGTATACAATCACCATTCGTCTCTAATGCGATAAAACAATCTCCTCATTCTACTCACTCGCGTAAAAAGGAATACATATGGTCATAAGACTGAACAATACTTCTGGGTCCGCGCATTATGCATGTGCAAAACTTAAAATTTTTCAAAACGCGGTAATATGATCAAGCAATCGGCGGCATCACATGCATAATAACCAAATGAAGTATCTATGGTCAATTATCGTGATTTTGTAATGCAGATAACAGGTCCGTTATCTGTGGCCCGTGCTTTTAGAGGGAATCTAGCAGGTAAATAGTTGTGTTTCAACATACTATTGTCGTATATTTTCTGACTTCCTCTTTGCATATTTATAAAGAACGTCTTTGTATCACTTCCTTCCTTTAACCATACGACACATGAACTATGATGTACATTTTGGCAACTATATAGCTTGCTGCATGTGTTTGTGCTTGTCTGTACTTGTGCTCATATGGTGCTTTATTGCTCGACTTTGTCCATACCTCGTTTCTTCACAGGAACAACGATAATAGTTGGCGGCAAGTCGGTGCTTTTGTTTGTGCCCTGAAAAACCGCAACCCCTCGTGAAGTTTCCCGGTTATCAGCTAGACAACCTCCAATTTGTTTTGCCATGGCAACCAAAGAGCTCTATTGGAAGTTAGCGACACAAACTGATTCGTTCCTGTATCCCTAAATTATATTTGAGTCATGTAAACATGAAGCTCAGAGTTATTTCGAGCCCGCCTATTTCAGTAGCCTGTTTTGGGTATCACCGGAGGGACAGAATGGTTCAGCCTTCGTCGATGAACAGGTTTCCCGCAGCGATCCCCCACAGCTTTTCGGAAAGTGCGTCACTTTCGTTGCTTATTAGAGCGACTCTATCTTCTTCATTCAGTGCCGTTCCATCGAATACGAGCCGCTGAGACGAGGCTCCGTAGTTTCTGACGCTAAAACGAAGCGGAGAGGCTCAATACCGAAGGCGCGCAGGCGACAAAGGCACGTTTAATATATTGGGATGAAGAAAACTAGCTCAAAAACACCAGAAAGAAGGAAACTCAGTCGTTCTATGTAAAATCACATGCGCCCACAGAGAGTGAAAGCAAGTACTTACGCAAAGCATTCCTCGACTTAACCGGGACCACTTGCGCATATTCGGCCCGTGGCTGGGGTACATGTTAAAAGACAGGATGTACAGTCAGAAGCTGCCGCGGTGAGAAGTACGCCATTCGCATGAGGCAATGCAACATATGAGATGGATACGAAAACGGAGGCTATTAAACGACACAAAAAATGCAAAGGAAAGAGAGTAAAAGAAGAGGGGTATAAAAAATATTTTGCAAAAAAAGAAAGCAGGATATATTTATATGAATCGACGACTTCCTCCAGGTCCATTCAAAGCAAAAGCAAAAGCAAAAGGGACATGCATGTCATCGTCAAGGCGGATGGACAGCTGTTGCCGTTGGGATACTCGACAGGTTGGCTTTTTGCTGCAGCAGTCTTAGTCACTTGGATGACATGGTGGACTCGGTGGAGTGAGTTGCCAATAATAGAGCAACAAATATTTTGACCAGCGTGGAGGTGTCTATACACTACTAACATATCGAGGGTGAACATCATGAGAGGCTGTTACTCAACACCACACACGCAAATCATACATTTAAATCAATATCATATCCAACTACACTCTCCCACACTCGTACAATGAGACGTGCCGAACACCCGATCAGAACAAAAATGAGAAAAAAGATAGGTTCGTCGGAGAGCTGCTACCTTTTATATAACACGACATTCCTCGATCTTCATCCGTCCCCAGTTCGCTTCTATAATACTCACAGTTCTTTTGTTGCTCTAACGTGGGATAGATACTATAGCGAGAGGATGGATCGAACCAAGTTCAAACAAATTACCGCAGAGCCTGCCACTAAGGGAAAGAAAGAAAGATTGATGAGCAGCTGCGCACACGACATGCGCGCTTTTGATACGTCATGGCAAACATCTATTCGATTTTTCAAACGCGCAAGCACAAACACTATTATATCTTTCTAGCTACACTTATCGTTGTTGCTTCGAGTTACTGTACATACAGCCCTAACCTGTGATGGTATGCTGTGACAAAATGTTATTCTTCTCTATATATTTTTTTATAGAAATAATACGTTAATAAAGTATACATGGCAAGTATAAAAAACAGATCGTGTAGAAGAAACAGAAACGAAAAGGAGTAAGTAGAGTGTAAAAAGACACAGAGAAAAGAGGTACATTGAGCGAGTCAATGATCTCAGCCTTATGTCCTATTCGAAGATTGTTTAGGACCCAATCATTGTCTCTACTGCTTATCCATACCATACTTTCGATAATACATATTATCCGTCGCCCGAGTCATGCGTTGTTGATAATCAAGCATCATCATGCACAAGTTGTTGGGTATTGCTGTAACATAAATATGTAAAAGAGGCGACTCTTGATATCTTTCATATGTTTCAAATATGCGTATGTCAAACCTGATTACGAGGGACGAAGATAATGATGAAATTGCTCTATTGTTTTGACTACAACGCTATGTCAACATACAGTGGTTACCATTATCTATCGTACGTCTCATTGCATACTTTCTTGCCACAGTACCCAGCCAATGCTATATATGACAATACAGCAACTTACTTTCGCATTTAGTACTGTAGTATCAGACCAACTACCTCAAGTTTCCGTGGCTCCCATTTTGACAATTAAGTATTAAATGATGGAATATGTATGGTTTTATGTAGCATATCCTAACAGGCGGTGATCTATCTCTCTATTGTTGACTACAAGCTAGACACATGGAGCAGTAATAGACTACTAACCGTTGTCATGGTAATAGAACAGGACTGTTATAATTATCTTGTCATGAGTGTTTTCTCTCGCTCTCAATTTTGTTGACAAAGTACTGCGATTGATATTCCTGCTTAGTTGATTATACTTTCTGTGATCTGAGGCCGTACTGCAACAAAATGCCGGTTTTCACTATTGCACATCCACTTCTATTGCTAATAAGCATCGGCACATGTGTGGCTGCCAGCTGTTATACTGTCATTCCCATTCGCAAAGTGCTCAATGCATGTCACAAGTGTGTTGCTTATAAGTTTTCAGGGATGGCTTTCCTTCTCTTTCTTGATTGCTTTTATCATGGTTGCTACGGTGTTGAAAAGAAGGGAAAGGAAAAGTAGTAGGGCTGAATCTTAGCAGGAGGGTGGCGGTGTATATACATTGAAAGAATCAATTGTATGGGTTGAAAAAGTTACGAATCACTTCTCTTTATAATATACGCAAAGCTTTGTACATACGGGCTATTGAATTTTTTTTATAACAAACAGGAACTCATTTGACTAAAAATCCGTGTCTTTTCCTCGCGTCAATCATGATTTGACCGTGTTTATCGCCGCACTAATATCGGAAATTGTAGCTTTCTATAATTTATAGACAATCACTGCTTGTATTACTGATACATACTACTTTTATTTTACTACACTTAGAGCTACTTCGCGTTTGCCTAGACGAACGTAATTTAGCGGTCGAAAAGCAACACTCTTACGATATTGTGACCTATCACACCCTTACAATGAAACCCAGCAGAAATTTTGTGGCTTAAAAAGTCTGCTGCCTCGCCTGATCCAGGCTATTCATACGTTGCGCAGGTCTAATGACAAGTGGACAAAGACATCTTCGACGTGGAGCATTAGAAAACGAAGATGCAGCTACATTGAGTCTTGGCGAAGGTAATAATTTCAGTCGTTAGCAATAAAAAAACAACGATCCATGCAAGAGAAAAAAAAAAGAGTTCGATTGTTAAAACTAACCCTCATTACATTTTTATCGTTTTTAGAATTCATAAACTCGCAATGTCTATACATTTCTGAAGTACGAATCTTGTTAGAAGCACAACAGGACTCCAAAGAAACGGGTACTGAAAATCGACCTACTACAAGGTAAATTTTTAAAAAAAATACTTTTTGATTAGACTAAAACATGATGCATAAAAAGAAATGCCTCGAGTTAAATAAATAAACTAGTATCACTACGAAAACGCTGGATTACGTACGCACATTCAGTCGATTCACGAACCGAGACTCCGTCCGCGAAATTAGACAGTAGGGATCATCATCATCTGCTTTCTTCTTCCTCGTATAGTCGTACACTATAGTTGTTTTAAGCGACGATCAGTGTTTGGGGAGTGATTGCTAAGACGTGGAGTTTACATGTGATATAGGCTCTTGGGTAAAGATGACTTGGCTCAATTTGAAGTAGCCCAGCTTGCCAATCTGTGCTGTGAGGATGCTGAAGAAGCAAAAGCGCTCGTGCCGAGGTAAAATCGTTATGTATACATTCCACCCTGCGCGTATATATCCATGTGTGTGTGAGATATATATATGTAGTGTGAGAGAGAGAGAGAGGGATGTCATCATGGAGTGTTCATACCAGACTAAAAGCACACTCTGTATTTCAGTCTTGCACACAAGATCGACGATGAAAAGGTTCAGGAGCTCCTGAATGAGATGTTGACGATCAAAAAGTTCCAGGGCTAGACTGTTTGCATTCTTTCTCACCACCAACTACACATCCTAACAATACACACCCACACACACTCACACACACACACACACACACATCACAGTAAACAAAACGGACAAAAAAAAACGAGAAAAACATTACGTTTGATGGCTTTAGTCTATCTCAAATTCTCCTTTCTATAATTTTAAAAAAATGAGAACGTACTACTCCAGTTTGTTTCTATCAATTTGAAATAAAGTGCATTTATATTATTACCATAAAAAAAGAGATTTTGTATTCAATTACACGCTTAAAAGGGGAGACGGTAAGAAAAGAAAGAGAAGGTTGTCTGTGTTGTGTATATGTATATTTATATGAACGACATGAAAGGGTCGATAATAAATGATGATAACAAAAGTAGTTGGAATAATATGCGTTTTTTGATTCGTTATACATGATGCGAACTATTTAAAAAAAGATTTACTAGTCTTCTAACTGATCTATATCTTCTCCCTCTTCTTCCTGTTCCTGCTCTTGCTCCTGCAAACCACCCTTTTCTTTATCTTCCTCTTCTTCCTCTTTCCAACCGCCTTGTGTCGACGACAAAGAGGATACTTTATCATCTTGATGAGGCGCATTGGAAAACGAAATGGGCGCCAACTGTTGTATTTCCTTCACCGCCAACGGTCTTTCCCATATCTGAATATCCCGGTACGAAGCTTTCAAACTATTCGAAGTATCCCATGGATCTTGATAATTGCTATGTTCTGGTTCAGACGAGCCAAACCATACGCCTCGTACAAACGAACCATAGGCTTTCAAGACCTTCCAATTGGCGCTGCTGGCAATGGCGTGGCCATCCATGTACAAAGCAAGTGATGGATGAAGCGAATGTTTCAGCGCTTGTGCATGCTGTTCTCCTTCTTGATCTTGGTCTTCTTGTAAGCGTTGCTTTTTCTTGTCTTTGGATGATGATGACAATACATACGATGGATCACTATCAATGACCAGCACAAAATGATGATATTTGTCATCTTGGTTGACTGGAAATGGATTGGCATGAACGAGTATGTCGGGTTGCGCACGCCATGACCAGTCATCTTCAAGTAACACAGTGGCTAAACTGAGCGATACTGGATCCACTGCATTATTTGAATTGGAGGTAGCGGGTCTTGTTGTTGCCACCATCGAGGGTATAAGTGCTTCTGTTCGAACATAGATTTTGGCTCGATCGGTCTGGATCACCACAGCAGTGCCATTTTCCTTGTCACTATGTGTCTTCATCCACCAACTGATCGTTAAAGTATGAAAGGACGTGTTGGTGGGCAAGCCCATGAAAATGTAACTGTCCTCCCCGTTTAAATGGACTCCGTCGTCGTTGCCATAGATGCCGTTTCGGATCAACCCAGAAACTTGGTTACCAGATACGTCATCGGCTCGCATCGGATTCGTTTCCGGAATGCCGTCCTTCTGCAATGGCCAGTGTCCCACTTTTTTTTTTACATACATATAAAAGTTACAGTTAATCTTTTTTTTTTTAGGAATTCTCCCAAATTACACACATATTTTTGGCTTCCTCATTTGATTTTCTACTTTACCTAATTGATCAGCCCGTTCCGTATGTGCTAAAATCTTACACGCGTCCTGCCGTGGATCCGGTCGTCCATCCAATAAATACGGTCGAATTTTACAATACAAGCTAGTGTCGACATTCAAGACGGTTTCCTCCGTCAGGTCTTGCATCAAATGTTTTTTCGCAGGCGATTCCCAGATATGCGTGCCCAGATTTTCGGCAAAGTCATAGGATTTTTCCAAATACATGGTTCGTAATCCAATCGTGTCCCACAACGGCCAAAAGAATGCCTTGTACCCCAACACAGTGATCTCGTCAGGAAAATGTGGGGCTAGCTTGCCAGGTAACACCACCGAATGATAATTCCATTGGCTCATGTCAAACGTCCTGTAGCTGTTGTAGTACCGTTGGAGGAATCGGGAGTTGGGTCGAGACATCATCATGGCGTTACACAGACCGACAAATCCATCTAAGTTTATATATTCCTTCAAATGTTATTATCGTTTTCTTTTCTTCTTTCTTTTTGACCCAAGCCAACATATCCCCCAACCCCAAGTCACCATATCGATCTTTCCTAGAAACCCCTTTACAATCCGACCCTGACCAAAAGAGATTCTTACCTTTCCCTTCTTGTCCCATGACAAACTCTTGATCCAATAAATGATCCACTGACTTGAGTGCAAACAGATCCAAATCAAAATAAATACCACCAAGTTCTCTCAACGCTTCTAACCGAACCACATCCGCTCTGTGCGCAAAATGTTGCACCGGACGACCAAATATGTTATCAATGAGAGGAACATGCCGCAACGTCAGCATGGGCTTGGCGCGTTCAAACAATTCACCCGTGGGTTGATAGTGATAATGAAGATAGATCGTGTCGGGTTGGATCACATCGTGGGCTGCCTTGATGGCAATATAGTGGGCTAAATCCAATGTTGGATCAGGACCCTTGAGGCCGTGTATGAAATGGACAATTTTCGGTATCCGGTCACCTTGCGTCGTTAGCTTGGTGCGTTTCGCCACTGCTAATTCCGGAAACGTCAGGTCCAGCTTCTTGCCGGTTGCTGTAATGCTGTTGGAGGTGCTAAATAAGCTGAATTGTTGGCATAGAAAGTACAGGAAGCCAGTTGCTAATACGAGCCGAAGTATCCATCGCTTATGAAGGAATCGCGATGCGAAGGTGGTTACGGTTGCTGTTGTTGACGATTTGTATGGATGGTGGTGGTGCCGCTGATGGTGAAGCGGTAACCGTGTTGAAGACGTTGACGGCGGACGTCGTGGATTAAAGGTGGATGGAGGCATTATGATGGTGGGGGTAAAAGGTAGAAAATGGTTGTAGTAGTAAGAAGATATTTGAAAGAGTTATATTAATTGAAAAGAGGACCGAATGATCATTGTTCGTCGTGAACTATGGGTATTAACGCCGTTGCTACTGTATTTGTGTGGATAAACGATATATTTGTGCGCGTGTTATGCTATGTCTCTGTTGTATATAGGGTCGCGTGTATATGAGTGTGTGGGGTTCGTTGCGGGCTTGAAGTAACTGGGCGTGACAGCAAAGCGAATCATAGACCAGCGTATACCATATATAGTTTCTGAGAACAACCTATCAGATTGTCGAACAGACTCTCAATGTAATGCATATTGGGGTTTGTAACTAGTATGCTTAATTCTGATCTACTATACAATGAGTTTTCTCCCAATTATGCAAGATGGTTCTTCAAGTTTTCAGCCGGGAAAAACCGTAAGCAATTCAGGATGAAGGTGGGACATTGAGTTGCAATCTTGTAATGATTGGCTTGAATGCCTTTAAAGAGCGAATGATCATACTTGCTAAATATTCCTATTTGCCAATCACTTGTTTCTTTTCTCTGTATCTGCGACGTGTCATCAGTAGCAGGACGATCATTGAAGGGCTTCCGGAGGAGGAGTAGAAATTGCTTACCGACGGCAAATATTTTCTTGGTGAATAATATAAAAGACAATTGTTTTCTGTGTGAGTTATATACGCCATGGGCCAGTCAGCCAACTATCATGTGTTACATATCAAAATCAAACGAAGAATGGTCAAGCCTTTGTAGTTTAGACAACAACAAAAGATCAATTTATTTGAAGAAAGTGAGAAGGAAGGCTATGTATTTCCACAGATCAGTGGCAACGTCCAGACAAGTCTATATATTTAGTGGCCGAGCATATTAAACGCCTTCTCATCTTTTTCTCACCATCTGTACTCCTTCCAAGCTACATTTGTGGATCATCCGAAAAGTGTGATGTATTTCCAGCCCTTGCACTTACTGTGCATGTGTGAGAGACCTCCACAAGGTCGGCCAGCATGGTGCTTGCTTGTAGCTCTGGTTCGTCATGTCCTTGTCAGGTGCTTTTCAAGATGTTGCGTGATAATGAAAGGATCTATCATTTCTGAGTCGACGTTCCATTATCAAAACAAGCCGCCCGAAACAGGGTAATGTACTGCTTTCCTTTGCAAGAAGTGGTTTACGTCCATTCATCAGTGATATGGTTGGCTATTTCGGCAATGTTTTGTTGTTCGTTGCCTATCATGTTTGAATCACTTTTGCTTTTGCTGTCAAGATCACTAGCTTAAAAGTCAACACGGTCACTTTTCAACAGCGAGTGAAAACAAAGTTATTGGGGTCGCACAGACCTTCAAGCGAGTGCCCAGAATTCAAAAAAAGCAAGGGAGGTAACGGTATCAATAGAGGCAAGCTTGCATCGGTGTACTGATTTAACTTTTTATAGAGGAAAGGATAGAAGAGAGTAGCTGCTTATGTATCAATGTCAAGTATACCAAACCACATGGGTGGTTGGATGGGTTAGTCAAACCTTAAGCTTAGACCACTGGGGGTGGTCATACGTTGTTGCTGGCTGAGCCTGGCAAGGGTAGACGTACCTAGTGCGCCCAAACCAGATTACTACCAAACATTTTTGCCCATTTTCGCGGAGTATAATTCAAGCCCAGATATAGGATGTAGGCCCAATATGGATTCACTATGTGTTTCATTTCGGGAGGGATCCACATCAATTAGTGAAAGACATGGTAAGTGCGTGTCGGGTGTTTGTGCTTACAGGTGGATGATCGTGGTCATACCGTCCTCTTTTTGTCCCCCCTCCCACTAATCACACCATCCACAATCCACCAGCCCCCTCGGTTTCAATAATAAGGATATCTTTTACAAACTTTTATTGATGATCATACATGTAAGTAGTACATAGAACGGACTCTAACTCTTAAAACAAACAACGAATATGTATTATGTGTACCTAGCAGTATGCAGTAGCAATGATAATATTACATCATGTTGCATTGGAGATTATATACCGCTGTTTGCGTTTACTAAACTGCTAAATGTGCATGGTAACCCTATTGATCAAAACAATGACTTTTGCAGCACAGTTTGACAACCACACACTAACAATATATATGATTCTTTCATTACACTTGTTTCGAAAGAGCGGGTTTTTGTACAGAGTATGCGTGTAACGAGAACACGGACGATGGGATGAGGTGATCTACCCTACTAAAAACCCGCCAAAAAAGGGGGAGGTAATGATGACATTATGTAAACTGATCGGCCATCGGATCAGCCTGTGCGTCTGCATGGACTCGGATCCTTTTATTGTGGGGCCCACTTTTTTCAAGTAATGGGGGAGCCCCAAAGACAATCAATACCAAGAAAAGAAGTGATTGATGACCATGGCATCAAAGTAAAAATGATAAGTTAGATTGAGTGGCGGGTCTTCTGAGAGTGCATTGGGCTTTTTGTCCTCCTATCCCATGATTCTAGGAAAAGGGCAAGGGTGGAATAGAAGGTTTTGGAAGTAATGGCCTTTATGCCTCTTTTTGGGAGTGGTTGCCCTGAAATGGGGTGCAGTAATCACAACACCAAAGCATGCGCTGGCAGCTGTCCCTCTTTTTTCTTAGCAGATCGAAATTAGGTGTAACGACCATCAAAAACAGCACTAAAAGCGCTGTATACAGGCTGGTCAACACCCACCATGGCGACATTTCTACATATCCTCAATTATCTCTTGTCGAGAATGGGAGCAATAAGCCTTGTTTGTGTATTGACTTGGAACAGTCTAGAAGTAATAGGACATCCTGCCTTGTATTTCAAATTCGTTCTGCGCCTTTCTTTCCAGGCATCATCCAAATTCTCTCCATCTCTCTCGAATATACAAGTGACTGATATAGAACAACTTGGACCTTTCAAATCCTCCCGGAAAACTACAAGAGGGCTTTTCGGCTAAGCCCATAGCTTTTTCTCATTTTCACTGGAACAGAAAGGTTCATCCAAACATCGACCTTCTGATACGGGTGGGTGGATTTGTAACACCGACGCCAAATGGGCCAGATGGAAAAAGATAGGCATGGAAGCAAGACAACATGTACATAGAGCACTCACACTCATACCATCACTCTAGTGCATTTGAAACACAAAGTAAGCTTCTTCTTCTTCAATTCCATTCCCACTGCTCAGAAGTGTATGGGTTTTTGCTAGCCCCTATCTATTGTTCACACACAGAGAAAGAGAAGGGGGGGGAACCCCAAAAGTCCGATGCCATAAACGGCAATTTGCATGATGTCATTGTGTCACAACCACTACGCAATGTATTCTCTCTTTTCTTCCCTTCCCTTCTCCCTCCCTCTATTTCTTCTTACTTCTTTACCAAACATACACACACGCACACACTCAATTTTTGTACCTCTCTCAAAGTGTTTTAGCGATTCCTTTTTCATTTTGACTAAGCCTCATCACTTAGCGAAAGGTAAATCAAACTAAACTTTCCGCATAGTCATTCACAGGTGGGAATCAAAGAGAAGAAGCATTCCGAAATTAACCCGCTTACTCTTACTTTCACTTTTAGCATACCTTACAAAGAACTCTTTGCGAGAAACAAAGAAAAAACAATAATCAAATATTCGAGAAAAACAGAATATATCACCTCATCCCACCGATAAAAAAAAAGGTACGGGCCTCATGCCAGGCACTCTTTTTTTTAGCTTTCGTTCCCGCCTTGTGGGGATGACGAAATGTGGAAATTCCACAAAAAAAAAAAAAAAAAAAACTAAAAATCATTTGTATTTGCATATGTTGCTCTTGTAGTCGAGAAGCAGATAAAAGTAATGGCAGGCAATACTCAACAACAAAAACAGCAACAGCAACAGCAACAACAAAAGAACAATGACGAAAATAGCAGCAGCAGTGGTAGCCAGCCAGACACTTCAGCCGGTAAGTTTTTTCCCACTTGAAGAGAGAGAGAGAGGGAGAGATAGGATGAATCTGATCAAATGATATATATAGAAGTGCCGGTGAAAATGAATTCAAACAGCCCTCCCATGGCTGTCCTGCCACTGAATTCGAGTTCAAAACTGGACCAAGAGCCAAACCCATTCGAACAGAGCTTCTCTGGCGCAGCAGCCGTGGTTGCCCAGAGTCCAAACAACAGCAGCACCACTTCGAGCACGACCAAAGACAAGGACAAAAACCAACCGGAGACACCCAATAAACCGGTCTTGCCGCCAGTGGCATCCATCACGAGTCCAGCCCCGCACTCGCTCATTGGCAATGGCGTCTTGCCCAAAGATGTTACAAACCAGTTTGCGTGGGATAGTTTGCGCACAGGGCCCCTTTCGCCATCCATGCTGGCCGGCCCTACAAAGCCGACTGACATGGCCTATATGGTCAATGATCGACAACAACAACAACAACCACAACAACAAACGACGTTTATTCAACAACAACAACAACCTGGTTATACAGAATCCAATCATCAAGCACAACCTTATAATAACAGTCCAGCCATGTTTGTCAAACAACAGAATGGTCATCCACAGCAACGACAACAACAACAACAACGAGCGTCACCCCGTCGACAACGACAACAGTCATTTAATACCGATAAAGACAGCACTGATGGAGGAGAGTCGAGCAGCAAAGCAGGGACTCGCCGAAAGGCAGCAGCTGCAGCAGCAGACCAAGACGACGACGACGACGATGATGATGGCAAGAGTAATAGCACAGCGAATGGCAAGAAGAAGGCGCGTACTCGAGAAAAGACGGCCGAGGATGAGGAGAAGCGAAAGAACTTTTTGGAACGAAACCGGATAGGTAAAGATTGCGTGATACATGGTGTCGAAATGAGAAAGGCACAGCAGGATTACTAATAATCTCAAACCCCCCCCTCCATGAAATTAGCCGCACTCAAGTGTCGACAACGGAAGAAGCAATGGCTCAACAACCTGCAACAAAAGGTGGAAATGCTCTCCAACGAAAACGAACAGCTTCAAGTACAAGCCGAAACGATGCGAGAGGAAATAGTCAACTTGAAGACGCTGTTATTAGCACACAAGGACTGTCCGGTTGCACAGAGCAATGGATTCACTGCTGCCAACGTGCAGAAATCGATACCCACAGTGATGCCTCAACAAGTCGTTCGTCATCCTGCAAGTGCGTCGGTTGGTAATGGTGGTGGTCCTGTTGGGGGACCCTCCGCAGCAGCAGTAGCAGCAGCACAAGCACAAGCACAAGCACAAGCAGGTGGTCGTCCAGTGTATGGTCAACAGCAACAACCCTATGCTCCTGCTGATCGACCTGGAGGAGGAGGGGCTAGTGCACCACCACCACCACCACCACCTACGTCGCAACCCATCCATTCATCAGCCCCGGCTCCTTATACGTCTTCACACCAGCAGCAGCAACAACAACAGCAGCATTTCCAAGCACCGGTGACGAGCATGATGGGGTTACCGATGCAGCCACAGACGGCACACCATCCAGCACCACAGCAGCAAGGCATGATGGCTGGTGGTGGTGGTGGTGGTGGTGGCACTAGCATTTTGCGATTCTAACGATAATTATGCTTATATTTTCTCATCACATACTTCTTTTCACTACCATGTCGGGAACAAATTAAAATAGGGCTCCCCTCACTCCCTCTCTCACTCTCCCCGTCCGTATATTCCACACAACCTCTCTATTCCATGCATACTTATACTTTTTTTTCACACACACACACACACATATTGACTTGAGCTTATTGGCTAAAGTTTTCACGGTATATAGCTCTTCTTCCTACTTTTTTTTCTTTCTTCTTCTTTTCTTTTCTACTTTTGCATACCTACCATATCTACCTACCTCCTTTCTCTCGGCGCCTGTACTTTCTTCTTTTTTCTTTCTTAAAAAAACCACCCATGCTTGCATACGAAACTCTCCCTCTCTTTTCTCTCTTATGGGCTATATCTCTCTTACTTGTATAAACAACATTGTTCTATGTGTAAAACAAACTATAAAAGATTAACATTGTCATGTTTGCATAAAAACAACATGGGCCTGCTTGTATGGTTTCTCGCTTCTAGTCTTAACAGTGTCCATTCAAGCATTTATATATCATAGGCAGTATTTATGCACTTGCTGGAACCTACTGCATAGTATCATACAGTGTCTGTTCTTACAGACCATACACAGTGCGCCCCCGACAGCAGCCAGGTGGGCTTTTTTTTTCTGCTTTGATCAGCTGTCTGTCATCTTTCTTCCTCTACTGAATAGCCCCGGACGGATCTTCATATCTGATGTGTAAACGGGCCAAGTAGTAGGGATGAATGCTGGTTTCGGTGGCGGCACAAGGTATCCAGGTGATGTATAGAAGGGAAGCCAAGTCGATCATAAAAGTTTCGTTTGACTCAATGCTTTGTCCCGTATGTGATATACATCCTCTATATATCGTAGCCTTGACTTTTAGATATATACAAGCTTTAAAGTCTGCCTCGGATCTATATGCTTTAGACGTTTTACAGCGTAAGATTATAGATTGGTGCAGGGACTGTAGTTGTTTACATATACGACAACAATACGAGCGCACAACCTTGTATCTGGAAAAAAAAGCAAAAAAACAAGTGTTGTACTTTGTGTGAAAAAACATAAAGCATTAATGATGTTAAACACTGGTGCTGGGTGTACAGTACAGAACTGGGTAGCTAAGCCCAAAGTTTGTGAAACCGGGTCACTATCAAAATATAAGAGGAACAGACATTTACTTATTCTGAAATATCGAAGTTTGACTATCACTGATAAAAGCTCTACTATAGTATGGTGCAGTGATACACATGTCCACTACCTATCATTTTCTATATGCTTTTTGCTACGGACACCCCACTTTTGCCTCAGGGGGCAGTTCAAATCGACTATAATCCCCAAGAAGTGCTCGATTTCTAGTAGTAAGCCAAGTGCACTCCATCAATTGCTTTTAACAATGCTACTGTAGTTGCTGCTATCGAGTTACTGTATCAGCGCTGCTTACAGCTGTAGCGAAAGTGGACAGTATACCTACAGAAAATCATTCCTCTACTGTTGAAGTTCGTAAATATTGCTAGTAGATACCTTTGGGAGTAATCAGCAGATACACTAATAATTTAGATTCTATATGCGTTGCAGTCCGGAGAGATTGGCTCTTACTGTACTTGTATGCTCAGTATCATATTCAATACTTAAAGCTAGGTGGTGAGCCCGTAGCAAAACTTGTTGTATGATGTGTGTCGTTTGAAAAATGTAAAGGAAGAATAAATGTGCATAGTATGAATATACAGTCTGTGCTCCATAATAAAATTGCTCAAGTGAATGCAGTGTATCTAAAACAGCAGAGTTTGTTATCATACAAGCGTACCAGTAATGACTTTATGTAGCGATCCTGTCCTTCTGTCACGATAACTGCAAGTTAAATACGTGCGAGTGTAAGTGGTATCGCGTATAGGAGTCAGTAAATTGTGCGCCGCGTAAGCTCACATGTTCTACATTGATATTGTAAACATCCTCGTTAAGTCGAAAAGAAGACTTGTTTTCTAGAAGATTACCCATTGCATCGTCGTCCTTATATTGCAGTAAATAGCAACGAATTTGCGGGCTGATCTTGCATCAGAAACACACTAATTACGGTAGTACGCTATTTTGATTGACATACATATTGTTTGATTATGGGAAACTCGGTAGCACAGCAACGCACAGACCATTTTTCTTTTTGTAACGGAAGCCTCGCACTGTAGTACACACAATTTGCTAGTAACGATTTGAAAATAGCGGTAAGTCTCCCTAAGTGGGCTTACTGACACTATTTCTTTCCCCTTCTTCTGTTTTAAATGTACCAGGATGACGAAAATATATATTACGATGAAACTACAGGGGGCAGTACTAGCATGGTACATACAGCAATGTGTACATGTACGTTTGTTATGTTTTTGTATATAAAAAAGAAGTTGTAAAAGAAGACTGTCATGTACATAGCACATACTTGCATTGTTTTTATACAGTTACATCGACCTCTATTCTTCTATACAGGCCACGACGACATCCGACATCCATACATACACTGCATTATGTGCTAATTCCAACATAGTAACTATTGGATGGGGAGGTAAAAAATGCATGTCGAACCTTAATATAAAGCGCCAAGAATCAAGGGCCCCCCTTTCTCTTCGTCTCTGTATTCAGGTTCTGGCCATGAAATCGTATAGATTTTCCATACATACTGCATATTATGCACTGTAAATGTAGTACACCCAGAAGCTAGCAGCAACAGCGATGACAAGGTCCATCCTGGTTCAACATTATCATCAGCAACAACAACAACTACAGTAGCATTTATGGCAGAGACCGTCGGCATATTGATCTCTTGCATGCCGCTATTTGGGTCTGATGAACCTTTTTAGCCTTCTTTTTTTCTTTTTTAGGGGAAACACACGGTTTGGATCAAAGAATTTGATCCTTGAAATAGCAAGCGCCCACTCACACTCCACTCCACTAGAGTTTTCTGTATAGAAGCCAAAGAAGTTCCTTCTGCCGCTCGCTGCTCAATATAAACACACACACACACACGGAATCCGTACCTGCTCGTACATATTACACTTTACAGACATATATAAAAAGAGCAAGATAGTGTAATTCCAAGTACGATCGAGGGGTTTTATTGCTTCTTTTGCCTGGGCTTTTATACATTACGCAATATCCGGTTTGACAAGTGAAGACCCGTTCTCTTCCTCTTCGTCTCTAGCCCTTTTCACCTTTAATAATAACAACAACAACAGCAACAACAGGACCCCTTTTTTCAATCTCGCATGGCTATATCATAATCATTTATAACACGACTTTACTAAAGAAGAAGAACTTCAGCAACAACGAACGGATAAAAAAAAGTCCCCTATCTTTCTCTTTCTTTCGTCTTTTCCTTCTCTTTCTCTTACACTTAATCTTTCTACGTGATCCTTAATAAGCACCTATCTATATCTACTCTTCAAAAATAATAATAACTCATTGGACGATGCCACTTCAATCACAAATCATCAACGTATTACCGCGTCGCCTTTTAGCCAGCTTATGGGCATCCCAAGAAACAAGGCTTTCGGTACATAAAATTTTGGCTGCTTGTGCCTTGCATGTTGACAAACCTACCAAAAGAAGCTAATCCCTGATTTTTTACTTAACAACAACAACAACATTAGTTATCGCAGTTTTCCATAAACATTAATGGTGTTACCAACAGCATAAAGTAAGCTATACTTCTTTGACATGTTGATTAGTTATCTACCATCTATTTTAAGTTACTAGTCTTTTTAACTCCCTCCTTGTCCATTCATCATTTTAGTAGTAATATTAGCAACAAACAGCCGCAACAACAACAGCCATCAGTCACCACCCAGTCATTCTTATGCGACGAATTGCCGATCCGTTACAGCCACATGCTACGCTTACTCTCCACCCTGTCTCCCGACCAACTTCAAACGCCCATGATTCGCCATGTCGCTCACCGATACCTGCACGACATGTGTACGCTTTTGCACCCTTCGTTGCGCTCGACATCAGACCGTGCTTTTAATGATCTGATCCGTAAATTGCGCCAACGTCAAGCAGCTAGCTTGATCCGTATGAGATACGCTCTCGTCCATACCAAAAACAATGCATTAATGGAACACATCAACACTGTCGGCCTCGGCATTCAATTCCTCACTGGTAAGTTAGCTACTCTCTTTTTCTTTCTTTCTTTCTTTCTTATATGTCCACCCCTTAAATGGGGTATATTCTCTTGGCAAAAATTTCAAAAAAAAAATGTGGGGGATGAAGGAGGAGGACACTAGGTCCATATGTCCATCATAAGTCCACTGGCGCTCTCCCTTTCCTTTTCTTTTGTTCCTGTTGATGTTCAAACGTGTACAGTACATCCACCACCACCACCCCCTTTCTTTTCCTTTGCTCTTTGGTGGCCGTATATGGCACCCCTGTTCCATCATCACCCCCTTCAAAGAAAATTGCAGGACTATACTCACAAGAAATAAACATTATGCAAATCCATTTTGATAGATCAACATTTATTATGGTCCACACCGTCAGTATTCGCCTCCGAAACAGGAGAAGGATCTATTAAGAGTGGCACCGCTGGGTCATCAGCAGTAACAGCAGAAGCAGCAGCAACAGCAACAGCAACAGCAGCAGCAGCAGCAGAAGGTCGCGTACAGACAGTGAAACCAGCTGAAATTGCCATGCAGGCGGTGCAAGATGCACGCCAGGTCTGTGCCTCCTGTCTAGGCCGGGACGCTCCAACCATTTCAATCCAAGAACAGCCCAACCTTTCCCTGACTTTTATGCCCCACGTGCTGCATCGCATGTTGTTTGAATCTACCATGATTACCTTACGCGCGCGTATGCTTCAACAACAATACGAACAACAGCAGCATCACAGCAGTAATAGCCCATGGAAAGCGCTATTCGATCGTGCGTTCCAACGTAGAAATAACAGCCCACTCGATTCCATACAGTTGGACATTTTCGGTGGACCAACAAGCATCGGATTTCGTCTGCAGAGTCCAGCACCGTTATTACCTAGCGATTTAAAACATGACATTCCACGTGATCCATTAGGGATCCCATCATGTCCGTCTGTTCTAAGCCGAACTGAATCCACTACTTTACGCGACGATCTTGATATGCTTGAGGACGCTGAATGGCATGTATGGAGCGGCTGGCGTGCAGCTAAAACTATGGCGAGCCATTGGGGTGGCAATCTGGACGTTGTATCCATGGATGGCCTTGGATCCACCATGTATTTAGCATTGGATCGTGATACCTCACTCTTGGAACGCTATCCATCACGACGTACACTAAATTGTTCTGCTTATCATCTATTACGTCACCATCGTCGTTCAGCAGCTGCTGCTGCTATAGCTTCTACAGCGGCGCCCTTGACTTTGGCAGCCGCTGAGGACCAGTTGAATGCGTTTTTGGGTGCCATTGCGGATCCGTCTCATCAGCCCGCGTTTATACCGGCACGCAAGGACGAGATTTACCATTCTGTATCTTTGTCTGCGGCTGTTGCAGCTGCTGTAGGCCATGCTTAAACCTATATGCTCATTCTTCTATATCCTTATATATATTATGTATCTATATAGCCCGTCTCCCCCCACCCCCGACCTCTTTCCTATAAAACTCGCTTAACACTCATCGAACAAGCGAACCAGCACCTACACCGATTCACATCCGCACACTCGATCAATTTCATGTTATGCCAGATCCTTCCACCACAGATAGCATCCTCTTCTTTTTACACTAATTACTTTAATACATGCTTCTTGTTTTTGAATGTTCTCTAAATAAAGTACAGTTACTTGTTTTTTTTTCTCATTTTGCATGATAATCGGTTGAGTTTACGAGGGTTGGCGGGGGATAAACACTACATTTTTGCATGTAAACGCGAGATAAAAAAGCAGATCTACAAGCATATATTGTTATGGAATAAAAATGCATTGCTTTTTTTGGAGCGTGTGTGTTATATTTACAGCAGAGAAAGTAACAGTAAAAGAAAAATGCATGTTGGTGAGTTTTGCGTGTATAAATTGGACGTTTTCGTATATATGCGTGGTGTGTCCAGCAGCTCAAGATCCCATCAATTACAACAAGAAGGTAAGTTGCAAAGGCGGAAAAGAAAGCTGCAAGAACTGCCGGACAACCAAGGTTATTGTTTCCCTTTGAAACCAAACTTTTTCCTCTCGTAAAACAAATCTAAAAGTTCAAGTAATCGTTTTAGTAAATTACATTGGTTGGTTTTTTTTTCGTCGCGTATTAATCATACAATCAGCACCAGCATCAACGCTCCACATTGAGAAGGAAAAACTCACCTGTTTTTGAGGATCCCAGATTTATAATTTTTGGACATCCTTCACGATCCTTTTCTAAACGAGTACAGCCAACACAATAGTATGCATCGGAGACGCCTGGAGCGCCACAAATGACACATCGGCCCTGGAAAGAACCTATTAGAAGAATGAATGCCAGCGTTAATCAGAATTTGTAAGAGACAACGCACAGTAACTTTTTTTCTTTATAGTTCTTTTTAGAGAGAGAGAGAGTAATTGTATAGCTTACCGAAATTGCACTCGTCGCAAATGCGCACCAACGTAGCGGGACGTACGTAACTATATATTAACAACAGAAAAATTGGTTGCGTTAAGCACTTCTTTTCTCTTTGTGAGAATCAGAACTAGAAAATAAATGAAATATACCTGTCACAAATGACACACTTGCCATCACACTTGTCACATAAACGACCAATGGCAATGCCAGGTTGTTTTCGGCAAAAGATCAAATCGGGATGATGCTTTGCCATGTTTTTAAAAAAAAGGGAAAGCTTCAATACAACGACTACGCAGCAGCACAGCTGCTGCTGCATTTTTTCAATCACTGAAAGTTTGTGACGCTGTTTCAAAAAGCCCAAAGTGGAACCCTCTCGATGGAAACTATGTCCCGACCAATGAATGAGTCGGTCTACTTGCATAATCAGTGTGGGGAGAAGAAATCACTATTCCTCCCACCCACGTACATTCTTCCAAATCAAAATCAATGGATCTGTCGCTGCTGCTACAGTGTATAAACAACTTGCTGTTTAGCCTGTTTCATGCCATACCTACATAACTATCCCCTTCTTTTCTGCTAGCAAACTCATTCTACAGTAATTTCTTTTCCTTTCTTCCATTCCAAAGCCTTCCGAATATTAGAACCCCAATACGACCACTCAATTACATCAATTCTCATTAAGTCTTATCGACTTTGTGATGCATTGAGGAACCCTGGCAAGACAGGATCGCTAGTTTCTACTTGAACTCGCGTCTTTGTTCCAATGTTTTCATGAAATCATCTTTGCTATGCATCGTCGAGCTTCGTTCGTTACTTTTCTGCTTAATCTGTATCTACATACTTGCGAGCCTAATCAAATATATGGCTGTATAATAAGCTAAAAGTCATCCTTAGACTTAAACATGGTGAGAAATTTCGAAAATATTAAAATTAAAATGAGACTTCTTTTCTCTTGTCTATTGTTACTGATTGCTATCGGCTACATGTCTGTTTCCATCAGCAAGACTCGACAGGTTGGGTGCAAAAAATATTGAAAATTTAGATCAATAGTGCAAAGATGAACATATTTATCCCAAGATTACCATTGAAGAACGATTTGCTTCTGACACAAGTTTTAAACGAAAGTTGAATTTTAAAACAGCAAACGTGAATTGAATATATACTGCCAGACACGTTCCATACAATCCGAATAAAATAATTGAAAGCATCGATATAAACTGCTTATTGCTGTGCAAAATATAGATAACGGCAGATTTTCGATTAACAATAGTCGGTAATGGTACTATAGTATACGTGACGGATACGTCGACCCTGTACCTGGTCAGATTGACACTGCATGTACTAGGTTTATAACCAGTAAAGCCGCTAATACAATCGAAGATTAAACGAAACTGGAGAGTGAAGAATTGGTGTGGTAAAGAAAATAACAAGCCCGCTGTGAGTCAGGCATGGAGAAGCGCGGCTAGGATGTAGAAGCTATTACAAGTTGAGCCTAGAATAGCAGATATATATTGCCTGGTTGCACATCTCGGATTGTGTTATGGAGAGCTAGTTAAACAACAATTCCATCTCATGATGAAGGACAAACGGGATAAGCGTCAGTAGTTCCAGCTATCAATGATTGCATGAGACAACTGGCTCCAGGAGCAATCAAAAACGAACATTCTCGTGTTTCTCTATTCAGATGACTAGCCAGGATTTGTACGAATGGTACTGTCTCAACCTACTACCACTCGACGCCATTTTTGCGAAACTTGTCACACTGTTTACTGTATGTAGGAAACAAAAGTAGATTACGTTTAACATTGCTGTCGTAGCAAATGTTTATTTTTCAGCAGTTTATATTTTAAACGACAACGAGAAAGATCGGGGACCCAAACATGATGATAACAGCTTTTCATAACATTAAACCTAATACGAAAATATATAAAGAAAAACACTGAAAACATCATCGTGAATATTATCATATAACACATCAAGAATCAAACAATATCTGCTTAACAGAATGAGTCGTTTACAGTCTCGCACGAAGGTCATGCTATTTCAGTACAACAACAGCAATTATTGATAGTATTGAGCATAATCATGTACTAACGCATATAGTATGACATCTGGGTGACCAATGGTTGATATGCTTGGTTGTTCAGTAATGTGTGTTAAAGGAGTCTCTTTTACTTCTACTTGTAAAGATAGTAGCTACACTTGGATTTGACCGCCCCGGCGATATTTCACAACAGCATCATAGATAAGATAGAGTGTCGCTGCCGATCCTAAAGCTAAACATGAAAATCCAAACAAATCTCCTGTAAAGCCATACAAAGTCTTGCTGCGCTTCTGGATGGGTAAATAGAATAGATACTCTGCATCGTTCGTAACAGCTACTTGCTGAGAAAAGATGCCGTTCAATGTAGGTTCAAAAACACCGGACAAGCTTTGCGATCCACAGCGGAGCACAGTGATTCCGTTTTCTACTGCTCGTAAGCTGTTGCTATTTGCGTGATACGTTCCTATAGGGCCTATAGTTTATATTCAGTGGCGTTGCTCTTTAAATATAATGCTTTTACCGCTTTAACGTGTTTTTTTAGAAGAGCAAGTAATATTTAAATACCCCATGTCCATGATGCCTGCAGCATTACATCAACATTATGTCTACTCGCTTGACGGATATACCACGGAAAGTTGTAATCAAAGCAGATTGCAGCACCGACACGTCCGAACTCTGGCGTATCCACGTATTGGATTTCTTCTTTTTTCGCCGGTTGTGGCTCCTATTATGCAGTAAGGTAATTTAGAGTCATTAGTAAAGCTATTTGTACCGATAGTAGTAAACCCAATAATATTGTGTACACATACAACGAATGGTACGGGATGGGCCTTATTGTAATTAATGGCAATTTCACCCTTTGGCGTTACTAGAACCAACTTGTTCTCCAAAATGTTGGTTTCGTCGTCCTTGTCATAAGTAAGAGCAAGATACACTTGTTTTTCCAGGGCAAGATCTCGGGCCTTTTCAAGCAGATCAGCTTCTTCCTTTGGACTGCTCGCGGATCCCGTTTCCTCGGACCATACGATCAATTTGGCTCCTGCCTGTAGTTTAATCAATAAATGAAATTTTGCATGAGTATTTTACGATAGGTTACACTGAGGTGTCGTTTCACCCCTACTTCCGCAAAAAATATATATACAAAGACCTACATTAGCAAGACTTGTGGATCGATTTAACCATCGATCATGTTCTGTTTGCTGCTGCTGGTTTAGCAAACTTGGACCAATCACGCAGCCGACAGGAACGGTTTCAGGCACATAGTCAGGATACGCGACCTGGAAGAGCGAGCCTCGATTGATATTGATTTGCCAGCCCCCAATAATGGATAGTAGGGAGAGTAAAGCAGCATACCAGATGGCAGGATGCCAAAGCCATCCCTTCTCGGTGGTGGCGGTAGTGATAGGATGCGTTACAAGCTGTTGTTCTTCATCACCGTCGTTGTCGGCATTATTGCTGAACGCCGGCTTTTCGGAAGTTCGGCCGAACTCTTGGACGATCGTGGCAAATAACGCGAGCAAAAAGTCCACAGCGGGTCGTCCAGCAAACCACACTGCAGCCTGTACAATGTCTGGGAAGCCAGTAATGATACTGTTGGAGTATGTGAGGATATCGCCAGCGCCCATCAAATGGCCAAAAAGGGCAAGCCAGACGCCTGTAAATAAAAGCGGAAAAACCAACACGCGTACAGCGACACGATCCTGCTGGTGACTAGCAAGGAAGTCAGCTGCGACTGGAACGCACACGTTGATACCAGCACCTAACGCAACCACTTGAATGAAGTGCATTTACCCATAACAGTGGCTCTTATTTAGTAAAAAAAATAGTTTGCTGATCGTTTCTTTGCTTCAATGGCAACGGTTAAAAAATATCCTTACCTAACGTCAACCACGGACGCTGGAATCGTTTCTCACTTTCAAGACCGTCTGGTACACCTAGAATGGAGATCCATAAAGACAAGACATTCACGACGAAAGCGATAAAGACATTGAGCCATTGCTTGCGGGTATAATGAAGCAATAGTGCAAAGTAAAACACGGTTGCTGATGGAATGGACTGAGTGCCACTGGCAAACACGCTACATAGTAAGGAACGAGAGAGGTGCCCTCGCAAATCAATACTTTTTCTTACTACAGCCACACCTTAAACAGCTATCTAGTTTTTCTTACCCCACAAAAAACAGTGGTAATACGAGCCGATGGCCGATACTATATGATTTCAGCTTTTCAGTGATCGTCATAAAGTAAGAAAAGATGAACGTCAATTATACAGCATAGACTCGATTGTAAGTTCGGGTGAATCTTGGCGCTGTGCTCCTCCGCCAAGCTCTTTTATCATTCGTGTGGAATATACGATAGACGGTGCTACCTATATCAAATCAGACTTCAAAGGTGTTTCTAAATCATGTGCATGTATATACAATGTGTACTATCAAATGAAGCATTTACGTCTTGCTGTGCCATTAATCAAAAGCAAGGTTCTCATAGGTATAGCGTATATTATCACAGTTTAGGACCATGCCTCAAGTATCAACGCCGTTACTATTACAGTTGTATATGAGCAACAGTGACACATGCATTTGCAGATATTGGCACTCGTCGAACAGCTTTTTTACTATGATACGTTCTTCGATAATTGATGATGATGATGGATGGCGCCTTTTTAAAGCTCTTTTACATAAAAAGAATCTCCACCGGCACGCCAGAGATCGCACTTCTGGTTGTATAATCACTGAATGGATCGCTCTGTTCACGGAACCACACCGGTAAATGCACAATTCATAATTTTCTTTCATAGAGAGGCTGGTCTCGTTTTCTGCAGCAAGCTGCTCCTCGAAAAGCATTTATCATAATAGTCAATTGATCAGCCCATGCTCAGGATAGTTACAAACACTTCTTCAAGAGAGTAGAAACGAAATTAATAAACTTATTGTACACAAAGACAGAAGAAGACACATTTATTTATTGTTGCTTGCAAATGACCGGCTTGTATATGAATCCTTCGTTCCTCAAAGGAGAGGTTGCTCTCCCTTGGTCTCCACAAGCCTCAGTTCCAAAGGAACCTACACCTCCCAATAACA